TGGCAGGAGCTGGGACTGAGCAACGGGAGCTCACCCCGTCGTGGGGATTCGAACTGCCAACCTTCTGATCGGCAAGTCCTAGGCTCTGTGGTTTAACCCACAGCGCCACCCGCGTCTGTACACCTCAGTAAAATTGGCTGTATCAGGCCAGTGGCCCATCTAGTCCAGCATCCTGTTCTTAGCCAGCAAGCAACAGCATTTCCCCCAATTATGTTTCTCAGGAACATGCATCCAGAAGTTTACACCCTCTGTTAATAGAAACAGTACACAGCCATCATGAGTAGTAGCTATTGATACCCGCATTCTCCCTGAATTTGTCTAAACCCCTTCTAAACCTATCCAAAGAGGCTTTAATGGATGGTACCCAGCTCTTCCTCACTGTCTCACCTGAGTGGTACATGCCCTGGTTATCTCCTGCTTGGTCTACTGCAATGCGCTCTATGCGCTCTACCCTTTGAAGGTGACTCAGAAACTACAACTAATCCAGAATGCGGCTGCTAGACTGGTGACTGGGAGTGGCCGCCAGGACCATATAACACCAGTCCTAAAGGATCTACATTGACTCCCAGTACATTTCCAAGCACAATTCAAAGTGTTGGCACTGGCCTTTAAACCCCTAAATGGCCTTGGCCTGTGTACTTGAAGGAGCATCTTTGGCCCCCATCATTCAGCCCGGACACTGAAGTCCAGCTCCGAGGGTCTTCTGGTGGTTCCCTCAATGCAAGAAGCAAAGTTACAGGAAACCAGGCGGAGGGCCTTCTCAGTAGTGGCACCTGCCCTGTGGAATGCCCTCCCATCAGATGTCAAGGAAATAAGGAACTATACAACCTTCAGAAGACATTTGAAGGCAGCCCTGTATGGGGACATTTTTAATGTTTAATGCTTAATGTTTTATTATGTTTTTGTATATGCTGGAAGACACCCAGAGTGGCTGGAGCAACCCAGTCAGATGGGTGGAACATAAATAATAAAATTGTTATTGTTTTTAATAGAGTCCCATTTCTTTTGCACCACTTTTATATTCCTGAATTGCACAAAAGAACTAATTGCTAACAACAACATTTCACACTTCAACACCTTTTCTCTAAAGGGACTTTGGTGGAATGCCCATTTTGCTGATGGGCAAACCAAGGCCATGTTGAATTATTAAACCGGAAAATTAGCAGTGACCCATACGCTTCTAGCCAAGGCAAATGGAGAGGAATCAGAGCTCATTATTGCTTCTTCATGCAAGGAAAGGTTACCGATGCTGAAAAATCTCTCTTCCAGTTTTCTGGGCGAATGTGTGAATTACATTATTGAATGTGATATAATTTTGAGTTTAGGTTCCAGTTCAGCGCACGAAGAAAGTACAAAAGGGTGCACTATAGTGCTGATACGCCTGCTTGATTTTCTAGATTTAATACACAGCAAACTGGCAGTAAATGTGAATCATTATCTTTTGACAGAGAATGATGGTTTTGCTTTGCAATATCAATTGAATGCTCGTGGGCAAAGATTCTGCCCTAGTAGCTGTTGAAAATTCTTGATTAGTTGTTCGGTGGTGACGGTTTCCCATTTTCGCTGTAGATCTTTGCCTCTTTCCTAATCTCCCTTGTCATATATATTTTCCTATTTGAGAATGCCATTAAAAAGCCTGGCTCTTTAAGAGGCAGAAACTGTTGCCTTTCCCTCTATAAGTGAACGAGGAATGGAGATGAAGTAATTTTACTGGAGGTTTATGAAACAGGCCAATATTATAACGATGATGACAACGACCTGAAAGAATCTACTGTAGAGATTTAATGACTGGCCCTGGGAATACCAGAGGCAGCCCATTGCCATGATATTGCTTTGGTGGTTGATACAGATAACTGTCATTATGTATTAATCTCATCTGGGAAGAAAACTATGCACTGTTCTGCAAATATTGAGGAAAATTCTGCAGGCAGTCTTTTTTTTTTTTTTTTTGCTGCTAAAGAGGGGATAAGGTCCGTATAGTTAAAGCTATGGTTTTCCCACTAGTGATGTATAGAAGTGAGAGCTGGGCCATAAAGAAGGCTGATCGCCGAAGAATTGATGCTTTTGAATTATGGTGCTGGAGGAGACTCTTGAGAGTCCCATGGAATGCAAGAAGATCAAACCTATCCATTCTTAAGGAAATCAGCCCTGAGTGCTCACTAGAAGGACAGATCGTGAAGCTGAGACTCCAGTACTTTGGCCACCTCATGAGAAGAGAAGACTCCCTGGAAAAGACCCTGATGTTGGGAAAGATGGAGGGCACAAGGAGAAGGGGACGACAGAGGACGAGATGGTTGGACAGTGTTCTCAAAGCTACCAGCATGAGTTTGACCAAACTGCGGGAGGCAGTGGAAGACAGGAGTGCCTGGTGTGCTCTGGTCCATGGGGTCACGAAGGGTCGGACGTGACTAAACGACTAAACAACAACAAAGAGGGGATGGAAATAGTTGACCACAGCAGAACAGATAATAGGGAAGAGTCTTCCCATCTTAGCAATTGTCACTCAGAGCTACTCAGGTGGACCGTATAGATCAGGTATAACCAAAGACGGGCAAAAACAAAGTTGTTGGACTACAACTATCTCTGACCATTGGCCATGCTGGCTGGGGCTGATGGGATCTGGAGTCCAAAACTATTGTTGGGGAACCACGTTGGCTACCCCTGTTCTGGAATCTGTGACAATTGTATGAAAATCAATATGCTTACATGGGTGACTAATACAGTCAAACCTCGAGTTGAATGTGCTTCGGGTTGAGCGCGTTTGAGTTGCGCTCCGCGGCAACCCGGAAGTAACGGAGCACGTTACTTCCAGGTTTCGCTGCTCGCGCATGTGCAGACGCTCAAAATGACGTCACGCGCATGCGCGGAAGCAGCGAAATGCGACCCGCGCATGCGCAGACGTGCCGTCACGTCTTGCGTTCTGTTCAGGATACGAAGGGGGCTCTGGAACAGATCCCATTCGCATCCCAAGGTACCACTGTAATCAGTTTTATACAGAGAAGGAAGGAAGGAAGATATGGTGATGAGCTGCTGTGGTGTAGTGACTGGGGTCTCAAGTCTAGGACCTGGGAGACTGGGGTTCAAATCCCCACTTAGCCATGAAGCTCACTGGATGACCTTAGGCCAGCCATTTTCTGCCTAACCTACCTCACAGGGTGGTTGTGCGGATAAAAAACGGAAGGGGGAGAACTGTGTATGCCACTGTCAAACTCATTGTAGGGAAGCTGGGATATAAATGCAATTGTAAGATGACATATCGTATCTCCCACCTGTGTAAATGGCTATATACTGGACAAACTGAAACTCCTATTATCAAAGTAGTTAGAATGGGGAGAAAGCATATTTGCTAGTGGAACTCTATTGTCTTCTTTTTGTGCAGCGGCAAGGACGTTGATTTTGAAACGTTGGCACACAGAACGAGTTATTGGGGGCAGCAGAGAGTTGGTACCATTTAGTGTTTGGTGCACAGAGCATCCAACTTGGAGGTGGGAGATCCAGGTTCATATCCTTGCTCATATGTAAAGCTATCTCTGAGCCTTAAATTACAACCCTCCTGCCCCAAGTCCTATGGTCATTCTCTGAAGCCCTTCTCCAAATCTAACCCCTCAACCCCAACCCCAAGTGAATCATGTGATATCCAGAAATGGGCCTCTCTGCCCAAGGAGGCTTGACAGGTGTCATCTTGGTTTTGATTTCAGCAACAATGCCATTTTAATTACCCATTTTTAATTCATCAGCTGTGCTGTGGCATCTTATGCATGCTTACTTGGTAATAAATCCCAGTGTGTTCACACAAGAAAAGGGTGTGTAAGAATGCAGCTTTAGTGAGCACTCTGCTGACTGCTGTTTTATTGTGTTGCATTACTATTGCTGTTTGGTTTTATCGTGTTTTTAATACTTTAATTCTGATTGCTCAGAGACCCTTCCTGGCTGAACTGTTGAAGAGCAGTAGCGTGAAAGGTTTTCAAAATACCAGAAATCTACCTCACAAAATTGTTGTGGAAGTAAAATAGCAAGGAGTTGGGGGGGGGCGGGGAAGTGGGAACACCACCCTAACCTCCTTGAAGGAAAAGCAAGATAAATATGTGTAATAGGGAACAGCAGACGGGGCTTTTTTGGTGGCTTCAACTGTGAAGAGGCCTCCCTTGGGAAGCCAGCCGGGCAACTGCTCTGCACTTTCCCCCCCCCTGCTGTTTCGGTGTAGATTGTGATTCTGCTGTCTGCTCTCAAATGATAGCATTTTAATGCTTTCTGGTGTTTTTTTTGTTTTACTTGGTTTCATCAAAATTGCAACTGCCTCCAGGGTCCTGTTGAAGAATGGTATAAATCAAATATATAAATAAAACCTACTAAGATGAGCATATCAAAAACAACAAACATACTTAATGTAACACATTTTGAGGGATACACTAAATCCACTAGGACTTGGTGAGAATGGAGTGTTTCTAGATCAGTATTTTTTTCTTGGGTTTTTTTTGTATATAATTTTTATTAAATTTTCTGTTTTACAATTTAAAATACTCATTTTACACCCTTAAGATATCAATGACTTCCCTTCCTATTTTTCCATGGTTCATTCTGCATATCATAAATCCTGGCATATTTTACATTTTTTAAAAAAAAAATACCATTCAGTATTCCATTACTGCATCCAGCAAAACTTATTTACACTGTTGACTTTATCTTAATGCTGTCAGCGTTTTCAGCTGTACATAATTATTTCCCATATATTCAATAAACGTTTTCCAAGCTTTCAATGTCAGTGTTTCCTATTACAGGGACTACACGGAAGCTTAAAACCTCCTTGCTTGGCTATAAACTTCTATAGGTGAAATGCCGTCGGACGTGGTGCTTTTTACTAGCAGTCTCAGCTGCAAGAGCGTGAGCCTTAGGAGGAGAACGTGAGAATCCCTTTCGAGCAACCCGTGTTTAGACATCACAGCGCTGAGGTGCAAACAGGCGGGAGAGACTTGTCTCCGCCCACAGGCGCGCGGCTCTTCCCTCGCCTCCTCTGAGGCGCCAATGACTTCTCCTTTCCCCTCGGGCTCTTTTGCGTAGCCACGCCCCTCCGCTCTCGGGGCTGCGCGCTGGGCCGCCATCTTGGACTCCTCGGCGGGTGCAGCGCGGTTACCATGGAGACCGCCGGGACGCGGCGCGGCCTGTGAAGGAACCCAAAGCCCGACTCAAGTCCGTCCTTGGTATTTGCTCCTAATTTTGAGCCTTTCAGCACTTTTCCTAACCGAAAATAGTAATTCCCGAGTCCTCCACAGGTATTCTGGGGAAATAGGGACTTAACTTTGGTCCATTTAGCTCAGTATAGTCCGCACTGGCTGGCAGCGGCTCTCCAGGACTTCAAGGCAGCTCTAAGGGGAGATGTCGGAGCCTGTCCTCAAATCTGTGTATAGTATTTTTGACTTGGGGGGGGGGGGCAAAAAGTTGTTGAGCTTTTTTTGTGGGTGGGTGGGGGGAGATCGCAGTTGAGTTGTTCAGTTTTTGGGGAGATCCCAGATCATGAATATTTTATTTTAAATGTAAATAAAAATAAACCCAGGGGTCAGGCATCTGTTTGAGGGTCAGGCTTTTGTTAGGCGAGGCAGAACCTCATTTTCAAGATTTATACGCAATTTATACACTCTGTGTGTGTGTATAGTCAGTGCTTTTTTCTGGAGGGGACGCAGGGTTACGCATACTCCCTAAACATTTTGTGAATCGTTGTACTTTTGTCCATTAACTGTATTTATTTTTCCCGATTTGAACTATAAAATGCTGATTTTCTTGAGTCAAAGTGAGAGTACCCCTAAACATTTTTTTTAGGAAAAAAGCACTGTATATAGTAATTTATAGACTATGGCGTGTGTAGCCAGAATCCAACTGGTGCAGCTTAAGCTCCCACCACCCTAGTGGAAGTATGGATATATTAAAAAAACCTTCCCTTGTTGCTCTTCTGCTTGCCATGCTATCTGTAAAAGCAACAGATGCCAACAACAGAGAGAGGGGGGTCCCACCTGTTCTGCCCCCAGAAGGGTCAGTTTATTTAGTGATAGCAAATCTGTGTATTAGTATTAGGTAGAAGGAATAACCATGCTAACCCCTTTAAGAAAAAATAGTGCCCCCCCTTTTAGATCTCTCCCACCCCCCAGTTTGTCTGCAGCAATGGGAAAGGCAAGGACCTAGAAAGTGACTTCTTCTTTCTCATCCTTGGCACTGCCCTGTAAATAGCATCTCTCCCCCCACCCTTCCCTGAAACTACACCCATTCTTGGATGCTCTCAGCATCTTCTTTGTCTTCTTCCCTCCAGCTGCTCTCACAGTTCCAGCTTTGCCCTGGATTGGCTTTGGAACACCAGAAATTAGACTCCCCCATCCACCCTTTTTTGCAATGCTAAAAGTGTTTCTTCCACGAGGGCCTTTAGTAGAAGGTTTTGCACTATTGGGACATATATAGTTTTGTTAGATAGTAATACAGTACTGAGGATTAGTGAGCTCTAGCCCTGCCTCGGAAGTGTCCCAGTAAAAGCCATGGTAGTAAATCTGCTTTGCATGTCTGCAGCATAGGCAGAACTCAAAATTAGCATAACGTAAGTTACTGTTAGCCATTTCTAATGAACCCATGAAACAACCACAAGGTGGCAAGCTTTAGACATTATGAAATAGTTTGAGATGTTTTATAATTTTTCCTCTTCTTCCTTTCATACAGATTGTTTCAGTATTTGGGGTCAAGATGTCTAAAGAGCATGAAGAACAGGATTTGCAGAAATTCCTTAGAGATGTGGATGAAGTTAGTAAGTCAACCATAAGTTTGTTTGAACAGTACCTTGCATGAGCTGAGCATGTCCCAGCCAGTCAGCAGCACCTGATTTTTCACTACAGCATCCTTTGGTGCAATTATAGGGAGGTTCTCCTTCTTTCCTAGAGAAGTACCCCGCTCAGCTAAAGTGGGAGAAATTGAAATTACTGCTGAGCCAATTTTTCTTGAGCTCCACTGTAAACATACTTACACTGCCTTTTTAAACAACCCCCAAGTGTTTGAGAGTGGTTTGACCCTCTTAACTTTGCCTTTCAGCTTCCTTTTTACCAATTCCCTCATTTTGGGGAAGTTGCCTCTTTTGAAATCAAATGTGATTATGTTTGATTTTCTTGGCAATTGGCCATGTGCATGTGGTTGCTTTACCTTTCTTTCTGTGAAACAATAATAAATGGCCCATTAGTGTTCTACACCTGAGGCAGCTGATGGCAAGAAGAAATGACTTTCACTACACAGGGATTTCAACCTGGATTTTATAAGAGGAAAATAGGAAGCTGCCTTGTATCAGGTCTGACTGCCCATCTAAGTCCAGCATTCTCTACTCTGACTCTCCAGTGCCTCAGAAAGAAAGAATTCCCATTAACTAACTGATTATTTAGATCGTAGTTGCCAGAGATTGAGCCTGGGTCATTGTGCAGGCAATACGTGTTCTCTAGCATTCTGCTGTGATCCTTTCTTAAACTCAGTATTTTATCCTCTTTGCTGTACTGACTGATTTGCTGAATTACACCTATGATGAAATGAAGCGTTTATATCACACCTTTCATCTGTGGTACAGCACACAGAGTTCTCAGTGGGTCTCTATGCAGGGACTGACCAGCCCCAGAATTGCTTAACTTTGATGAGGTTGCTGCTACATGTGCCTTCAGATCATGCCCTGAGTAATGAATCCAGTGCCACTTTTTAGAATAACATCTGTCAGGAAATGAAAATTCTGTGTCACTTAACGGGCTAACATTGTTGGTCCCTTTGAAATTAGTCACCTGTGATGAAGCTGCAGCTCCCCTTGACCACTGGACAGCACCAGAACCATCAGCTTGCATGGATTTTAAAATCAAGAGTTGCAAAACACTTTATTTAGGCAACACATTTCCAGCCATTATCTGACCATTCAAGTAGTATGTTCCAGCTTACCCTGAACACCTTCCTAAAAGAATTAAGAAGCATAGGAAAGATATCTTGAAAGCACCAAGATAGTGAAAGAAGCAGATGATTTATTACAACAACTCTTTCTAGTAATAGTGTTCAGAGATGCAAATATTTGATCACCAGACTACACAGCATTACAGCTATATCTGACAAGTTCTGCTGTCGGTAATCCTTTGATTTACTTGTTCTCTGTGTTGCAAAAATTGCCTTAAAAATTGATGCTAGCAACTGCTCTCATGACAATCAATAATTCAAAAGCCTCCTAGTTTGGCTTTTTTTTTTTAATGCTTATGAGACTATGAGCTTGACAGCTCATTCCATACAATAATTTTGGTAACTCTTTGTAAACATTATTTTATTTACACAGTTTCAAAATCTTTTTGAGTTAGATAATCTGAACCCTGAGATTTGGAAAAAGAGCACAGAGCTTTATAGAAATATGCATAACAAATAGTATTTGGTGACAAGCAATGCGATACGACAATAAATAACCCACCTTCCCGCACAGACCTCCCCGCATGGAAGGGGAAGGATGACTAATGCAAAACACTCCTACCCTCATTTGAAAAACTGTGTATCAGTATTATAAAAATGAGATTCTTTGAATGTTATTTATATCCTGTCTCAGTTGCTGAAATGCTGTTCACTTTGGCTAGCCTTTGGTTTATTGTACTTAGCACACTATCACATAAAATCTCTAGCTCTGTGATATAAAAACTGCCCTATTCTGCTTCTTCTTTTCTTCCTCTTCTCCTTGTCTTGTCCTAAGGGAACTACTACTTAATACAGGTTTTATATTTCCAAAAGAAGCGTTTTTCTCCCCAGTTTTTCTCTATGGTGGCATCAGTATAGAAAAATCTGAAGCTTTATCAGAGTGACATATCTGTAATCTAATTAATTTTCTGCTCCAGCTTCTCCCCACACACTTTTAAACAAAATGAGGGAGAAGATAAAGGTACAAATACAGTGATTATGCCACCATTTTGTTATGAAAAGATTACTGAAAGCTGTTCAAGGATATAATATGGAAATAAAAAAACCTATATTCATCATTTATGTAGAACACTAGTATATAGTGATTCTCACATAACTCTCCACTCCAGACATCAGACTGAAATATATTTACAATTTCACAAACTACTTCACATGGATGGTTCACTGGGTGACTTTGTTAAGATTCAAATACGTATTATTTTAAGAAATCCCCTTGTAAAAGCAGAAAGGAATTGTCAGTCATTGTGATGTATTTATTGTTCTAATATTGTCTGACCCGTATCTAATCAGCTTCAAATTTTGTCTGAATGTGTCTTTGCTGTTTCATGCAGCATAAGCTAAATTGTTCAAAATTGCCAGTCCCATAATTTGCTGTACAATTCTCTATAAGTCCTAGGTATTTGGTTTATTTCCCAGTGTTTTGGAGAAACAATTCTAGTTGTCACAATCATATAAAAGAGGAGAGTTGCCTTATCCTTTGTCATCTGTCCTTTACTGTATGACTGCATCCTGTGCACTCCCATGGCTGATTTGTAAAGCTGTGTACACACCATGTTAGCCCCAGTCCACATCTATCTTGTACTTTTTTGAGACACGATGCATTTTCATTCTTTTCTCCCCAAATCAACTTCAGTGTTTCAGTTTGAAACATAAGCCACGTGAAGACATCCTTGTTGGGATACTGCCAGGGAGACAAAGTCCATCATGGCCCCCAAGTCGTCTCCGGACGTCCATCGATCTCCCGTAGACACGCAGTATCAGCAGTTAGCGACACGAGCTCCAGAAATAGCTTGCCACATTCCAGAGCCGATGCACGCTCTATCAGCAGATAATGCACAGCGAAAGATGCACGCAGGAGAGCATTATTTACAAGTTTATTCAGCGTTGATCAGAACAAAGAAAACATGACTGCCTGCTTCATTGTCACAGACACAGAGAGAGAAATGAAAGCAAAAAAACCCCACAACATAAACTTCCTGTGAACAGGAAATACGCAGACTCTGTGACTCACAAAGCCTGCTCCCTTTTAAGGTGGAACGGAAATATCCTAACATCCTCCCCCTTTCCGTGTAACCTGTAGTACCTGTGGTTCAACCCAATTGCAACCTTTGTACGTAAACCTTAAGTTGTTCTCTGTTAACAACCTTAGACAACAGATCAGCAGGAATTTCATTACCTGCCATGTAGGACACCTGAATAAGTCCTTTCAGAATACACTCTCTTGCACGATGTAGCTTAATCTGCAAGTACTTGGTTCTTTGCTTGCAACTCTCTGAGTTCAGCAAAGCCAAACAGGATCTATTGTCTTGATACACTTGTATAGGACATTTCACAGAAACTCTGATGTCCTTAAACAGTTGCATCAACCATTCACAATCCATGAGTGAACATGACAGAGCATTGAGTTCTGCTTCACAGGAACTTAGGCTCACTGTCGTCTGCTTCTTGCACAGCCAGTCAAACAGACAGTGGTTGTACATGTAGCATACTCCAGAAGTGCTTGTACCATCCGTGGTGTCACTTCGAAAACTTGCATCTGCAAAGATTTCAAGACCTCCAGTCTTCTGACTGGTGAACTTCAGCCTGTAGTGCATAGTCCCTTTCAAATAGCGGGCTATGCGCTTCAGAGCTTTCCATTCCTGAACAGTAGGACTGTTAGCATGTCTGCTAAGCAGGTTAGTGCTTACAGCTATGTCAGGTCTTGAGCATCTAGCAATGAAATTCAACTTGCCTAGAATGCATCTGTACAGCGTAATGTCAGAAAACGCTTCAGCAGTACTATCTACCTGGTAACCTGTCACCATCGGTGTGTCTGCTGGGTTTGCATCAACCAAATTCAACCTGGTTAATACATCAGCAATTTTCTGTGTTTGGTGTACCAGAAAATTACCTGCTTGGTCCCTCTCCACCTGCAGAGAAAGATAGTTGGATACCTCACCAAGATCCTTCATGTCAAAGTGCTCCTTCAGCTGAGCTACGGTGTTTTGGTACAAAGCCTGATTCTTCCAAAACATCAGAAGATCATCAACAAAACATAAACAATACAGTTTGTTTTGCCCCTCCTCCTTGACAAACACACATGGATCAGCTTTGCCCTGGTGAAAACCTAGAGAAAGCAATGTCTCAGTGAGTTTTGTGTTCCAACACCTGGCACTCTGCTTGAGACCATATAAGGATTTCCGCAGTTTACAGACCATTCCCTTCTGTATCTGCATTCCATCAGGTGGAAGCATAAACAGCTCCTCCCCCAAAACCCCATACAAAAAAGCTGTATTAATGTCATGATGAGAAACATGCAGTTTCTCCTCTGCAGCAATCTTGAGCATCAGCCGAATGCTCTCATACTTGACGGTGGGTGAGTAGGTCTCGTGGTAATCCTGTCCTGGTACCTGTGAAAAACCTCTGGCAACCAATCTGGCTTTGTGTCTGACAACCTTGCCATTCTGGTCTGTCTTGGCCTTGAAGACCCATTTGCTGCCAACCAGTCTCATTCCTGGGACTACCGGTACCAACTCCCAAGCTTGGTTCCTATTCAAGGAATCAACTTCAGCCTTCATGGCATTAAGCCAAGGCTCAGCATCTTTAGAGGTTAACTCCTGAACCTCTTTGAAGCTTGAAGGTTCCCACGCCTTCTCTGAGCTACTAAGAACAGCGGTTGCTGTCTTAGCAAACTCATCAGCAAATCTCTTTGGAGGTCTTCCTTTGGTCGCCCTTTCAGATCTGCGTACTAGACGCAAGTCTTCTGGACTCATCTCCTCCTTAGGAGAAAAGTGACCAATGATGAACAGTGGTTCTTCCAGTTCATTGTCAGACACATCAGATGGTCTGACTGAGGCCTTCGCGCTCTTGTAGTCTGCTGTGTCATCACTGTCGCTGACACCAGCAGCAGCGCCGCCCACTGAACTGGAATCCAAACTCTGATCATCATCATCATCATCCTCAGCTTCCTCTTCTGCTTTCTTCACATCACCTTCATCCTCCTCTGGGTAACTCTGGAAAATTCCCACATTTCCCCCCCAATTAGGATTGTACTCAACACTCTTTGTGAACTTAATGGACTTAGAGTCAGTCATCCATACCCTGTATGCACCTTTTTCATACCCCATGAACAAACCATGTGCCCCACGCTTCCCAAGCTTGTTGCTCTGTGGGGTGTGTACCCACATGTCAGAACCAAAGATTCTCATGTGCTTGACACAAGGTTTCTTACTAAACATCTTCTCATAGGGAGTACAACCAATAGGTGATGACAGTCTCCTGTTAAAAGTGTAAACATACGAGTTCAAAGACTCCCCCCAAAACTTTGCAGGGAGATTGGCATCATGCAACAAGGTTTTTAGGCCTTGAAGCAATGTTTGATTTGCTCGCTCCGCAAGTCCATTCATCCATGGCGATCTAGGTGTTGACAAGTCATGCTGGATTCCCTTCTCAGTCAGGAAAGCTTCAAACTGCTGAGAAGTGCACTCCCCGCCCTGATCAGTAAAGAGACAGCCGATACGTTTACTGTGAACATTCTCCAACCAAGCACAGAATGCCTTGAACTTAGGAAACGCTTGCGATTTCTGCTTGAGCATAAACACATGAATGTACCTGGAAAAAGAATCAATCAGAACCATGAAGTACCTTGCTCCACCCAAAGAGGGCACAAGTGGACCAACCAGGTCTGCGTGGACTAGCTGGTAGGGTTTGGAAGCCTGCCTGCTAGACTCCTTGCCTTTTGGAGCAACCTTCACCTTGTTCTCTGCACAAGATACACATTTCATGTGAAACTTACAGGGTTTGATGTTCAAACCCTGAACCAATCCTGGCATCTTGGCCAGCGCCTGCCAAGACATGTGACAAAATCTTCTGTGTGCTTCATGAATGCATCCTGCATGAAGAATTTTGTTAGTTTGTGCAACACAACAAGAATCAACATTAGACACAACAGCACCATTGTCATCATAAGTTATACAGAACAATCCATCTATAAACTTTGCATGCAAAATGTCCTCTTTGCCTTTCCTGATGACACAGACGCTCCTCTTGAAGGAAATCTCAAAACCACGCCCAGTCAGCTGTGGGACACTGAGCAAATTGTCTGCAGCACCTGGAACATAAAGTACACCTTTGATGGTTGTGTACAGACTTGCCAGTCTCACAGTCCCTTCTCCTGCGATTCGCAACATCTTTCCGTCAGCCAGGTGGATCTCACCATCTTGAGGTTTGAAGGAGATAAAGAGATGCCGGTCTTTTGCCAAATGGCGGGTGCATCCAGAATCTACAATAAATCTGGCCTTGGCTTTTGGAGCAGCTTTTCTGGCAAGCAAAACCTTGTCTTCCACCGGCGTGGGCTTTTGCTGCTTGCCCCCCTGCTCCTGGCCATCAAACTTGCCTTTAGCCTTTGGTGAAGCTGTGCCAGCAAACAAAGCCTTGTTTTCCACTGGCATGGGCTCTTCACCCCCCTTCTGCTTCGGGCCATCTGCAGGCATCGGTCTCTGTTTACCTCTGGCCTTCCGGCCTCTGCAAAGGCGATGACCTTGGTTCTCACGAGAAACAGAGCTCTCAGCTGCCGACTCCTTGGCTCCCCTGGAGGCTGGAATGCTGCCTGGGATGACATCACAGTCAGCTCCCCCTGCAGCTTGCAACCGGTGCCCTCGGCATCCCTGCATTCACTCGCATTCTGGGAAACAGCCAGGACCTCCGATGCAGTCAAACTCTGGGCTGGGATGATTGGCAGATGGGCTACTTTCAAAGCATTCCACATCTTACGTGCAGTGGTGTTGCCAGCTAGCGTTTTAATTTCCTCCAGAGAGAGGAAATTGGCCTTTGAATTTTGGGCCCTCCATCTATCTGTCAGAGGAACTGGAGGGGCTTCAGACACAGTATGCCACACTCCAAACTGATGCAGCAAACTTTCACACCATTTTGCCCAGGTCTCATAATTGTGCCGATTTAACTTTGGGCACTCAGCAGCTTCAGAAGCTTGGAAAAACTCCATTTCATCTCTTCACTTGAGCCGTGAGCCTTATTCACTTCAGAGGCTCCTTATCTCGGCAGCTCATAAATCTTGAGGCCTGCTTGGCTCAACTCCCAGACCAATTAGTCTGCCGGAGTTCAAAGAGACTTTGCCGTGCAGCAAAGCCTTCTTCCCACATACCTCACAGCAGTCTGTCGCAGTCTTACTCTCCTGTAAGTGCCGTGAATCTGGGCCCGAAACCTGTTGTTGGGATACTGCCAGGGAGACAAAGTCCATCATGGCCCCCAAGTCGTCTCCGGACGTCCATCGATCTCCCGTAGACACGCAGTATCAGCAGTTAGCGACACGAGCTCCAGAAATAGCTTGCCACATTCCAGAGCCGATGCACGCTCTATCAGCAGATAATGCACAGCGAAAGATGCACGCAGGAGAGCATTATTTACAAGTTTATTCAGCGTTGATCAGAACAAAGAAAACATGACTGCCTGCTTCATTGTCACAGACACAGAGAGAGAAATGAAAGCAAAAAACCCACAACATAAACTTCCTGTGAACAGGAAATACGCAGACTCTGTGACTCACAAAGCCTGCTCCCTTTTAAGGTGGAACGGAAATATCCTAACAATCCTTACCCCCTCTCTGCCCACTGGTGTGGACAGACAGCAGATGACATGGAATCACATGTACACATTGTACTGATGTGTAAATGTGATTTACACAGCAGGGAATAAATAGCCTTGCTGCATTTTAAGCCAGTAATGTTTGCACAGCCTGTGCTGGAAAGAAAACTTTAGGGAAGCCTTTTCCAACCAGGTGTCCTTCAGATGTTTTTAATGACAACTCCCATCAGCCCCAGCATCATAAGGTAATGCTGAGCGAGGGCTGATGGGAACTGTAGTCTAAAACATCTGAAAGGCAGCAGGCTGAGGAAGACTGCCTTAGTATCAGCATAGAGTTTAGAATTTATTGCTTCTTGAATTTCTTTCCTGAATTTCTTTGTTTGTGGTCCTCTGCAGCCGTAGTGCGGCATTTTTTAATTTCCTCTGCTGTCTGCTTTACTTGCAAGGTACAGACAGGGGTTGTACAGGTCATCTGAGAAGACGGGAAGATGATGGTTGTTCTTTGTTTTGGTTTTGCTTTCTGCAGTATCCCCAACTCATCTCGCCTCTACCACCTCGTGAATTAGAACTGGCTTTCCTATTCATGACTTGGAGAAATCTCAATTATTGCTTGGGTCATCCATTTTCATATAAACACGAGTGCAACAAAGCCAGAACTTCAAGGAGAGCAGGCGTCCAGAACAGCCAATCTGTTCTGCAGAGATAAAATGCTGACTTCAGAATTAAATCTTGGCCTAGTTGCACTGCTTTGCAAAAACATTTCTTTTTTATATCTTTCTCAATGTTTTGAAAGTGGTGTACATCATGCCAACTTCTGAGAAAGCCCCCAAATTAAATCTGAGCTGAGCAATTTGTTCAGCATTGAGTCTACATCAAAATGTTACTTTGCCAGAGGGCAGCACCTGGTTTGCATATTTACAGTATTTGTTTATTTTTTAAAAAACATTGTTTGCATATTTGAGTCGTAGGAAGTTAACATAAAATATTCCTTTCTTGAGCATGTTGACTACCACTCTATGCAAGTGATGGGTGAGTATCACTTGAATTCTAAGTTCTTGAAAGTTAAAAATAAATGACAGAGAAATAAGTATTTCTAAGGGTCTTTTTAAAACAAACAAACCAAAAACCCAATATTACAGTTTTCCTTTCGCCATTCCAATTTAAAACACATCTGTGCAACCACGAGGGATAGAAGATTTGTTTTCCTACAAATATCAGATTTTCGGATTCTAGCTAGAACATCACATTTACAACAAAAATCATATGATTAACAAATCAGTGTGGCATTTAAAATCTATAAAATGATATTAACAAAACTAACAAAATAGCAACTAAAAGCTAAGCACTGTTAAGTTCATCCACACGTTCTCCATGTCCCCAAAGACTATGGTCTTTATTAAAATACACATAAAATACACATAATGCCCACTGTTAAGCCAGATCAGCCAGATACTGGCTTGGGTACTTGGGTAGGGGGCCGTGGTGGAGGTGATGGGGTTCTTGGGCCTACCACTAATGGCAAGGTGGATGCTGACTCTGGGTAGCCTGCCCCGTGGCCCCTTTGATGAGGAAGTTTTAAGCTTAGTTATTATTAATCTCAGGGTTGTGGCCTTGAGCACCATTTGGGCACAAGATTCCTACATTGCAGAGGGTTGGACTCGATGACCCACGTGGTCCCTTCCAGCTCTATGTCTTTATGATTCTATATGTTGCTCTTGATAATCAGGAGGTCCCTTCCCCCTTGAGGAATTCAGAGACAAGCCTGTCCCTCTAGTACTGAGTTGTGGCTGCCCTTGGTGTAGAAGCCGACCAAGAGGTCCAGCAGTGCCTGCTTGCTCACGATGCTCTTGCTGTGTGGTGGCCCATCCACCAGCAGGTGCTCCAGCTTCTGCCACACCTTGGTGGCAGCAGAGGAGGCTGCTGCTGAGGGCAGGCAAATTTCTATTTGGCTTAGCTTTTCTCTGGTTGGTGTGGTTTGTTATGCTCTTATACTTTGTATTACCCTGTGGCTTTTATTGATTTGTTTGTTGTTCTTCTTATTTGTCCTTTACTTGCTCGTTGCCCTGGAAGCCGTGTGCAGAAGCAGTGGGATGTAAATTTCTGAAGCCTATTACTCAGGGCAGGAGTGAACTCCTTATTTGTCTGACAACTTTTCTATTCCACGCTTAATTGTTTCGTTTTTCTTCCCGTTTCCAGCCAACCTGATTCAAGGCCTGAATTCCACAGACCCTTCTATCCAGGAGAAAGCCACTGCAGACACAGAGAAAAGATTAAGCTCCACTGCTGTCAAATGTGAGGATAAGCAGAAGCCCACAGTGGACAGAACATGCATCAATACACGAGCCCCGGTAAAGCTACGCTAATCCCCGTACCCTGATGGTACACGGGACTTTGAACAATTACATCTTGTACTTTTAAGCTATTATATAGCAAACCAGGTGAGACTTCTGTTTACAGGATGCCACTTTTGCCTTTTGTCAAGTTTCTTTTCTTGGAAAAACTATTTAAGGTTTCTCTGTATGCTGCTAATTGCTGTATCATTTCCCAACGTTGCTGAAATGCACATAATATTAAAACAAAATGCCACTGTTACTTGAGAACAGTGTGTGTCAATATTAGGAGAAATAATATCCCTTTTATAGCCCTTTCCTGCTGTTTCCTTGCTTTGATTGTTTGTCTCTGATTATTGTGTTTGCCCATTCTCATTGACAGTTCAGACTGTACTTGGGTGTAGCTGACTGAGGCCTGCATCCACGTTGGCAGCACAGTTAGATGTTAGTAGATTGGCCTATGCCACTTCTGACTGCAATTGAGGGCTGCCATTTTTTACCTTAAAAAAAACCTGCAAGTTGAAAATAGCATTCTAGCCCAGTCTTCTTCTTCTTGTGCTAATTTTCTAAGGGTTTTTTTTAATGGCATTCCCTAATTTGTAGCCTGCAGTGCAACAGACCATTCTGCCATTTTTGGGACCCTGTAATCTCACCCTATTTTGCAATCTAAAGACAGTCTGACCATTCTATCACTATGGGAATCCGTCATCTCATTCCACCCCATTGTTCTGCATGTTTAGATACAGACGGACTAACTTCCTCAATCAGCTGTAGCAAAATTAAACTGGCTCCAATTATGAAACTCAAATACTTTTTTATTCTGGGCTAGTAGAAGCTTGACACCCCCCCCCCCGCAAAAAATAAATAAATCACTGAAAGCAGGAGTTTTCCTCAAACTGGGACGTTAATTATGAAATGTACAACAGCATGCCATTATTGCTGTTTTAAAGTGTCAGTCCACAATGGCAATTTACCCTATTGAAGTGTCTGCAAAATCCTTCTCCAAATTGATTTTAGTTTCCTAAGCCCCGAATTACTGGGTGGGAGTTTGTTTTGTTTCCTTCCCGTGGCTTTTAATGCTCCTGACGGAATTAATTTTGACAGCTGTTGAAAATGTTCTTCTTTTTGAGATTATTATAGGTTATTATTATTTTTTAAGTGGCTTTGAAAAATGAGCCTCATTTTCTTTTCATGCAGCAGGTACCATTAAAAAACCCCCACAGCCAAGCAGTATGTTGCAGCATGCTCTTTTTTCCTCCGAACTTGCAACTAACTTTTTGCTTTGATGTACCTCTTTTAGGATTTTCCAGATCAGCAGGAAACAATGAATCCAGGTAAGCGGCTCAATACGTTGCTCCAGTGTATTTTAAACTGGGAGTACTACAGGAATCTCTGCGATATGCAGGTTAAACAAAGGATGCATACATGTATTGTAAGCAAGCTCTAGCCCAGGTTCTACATTTGCCCATGTATGGGTGGGTCTTGAAAGAAAGCCATATCCCAAGAGACTCCTCTGCTGTTTTCATTTGTGGGGACGCATGGAATGAAATGGAACAGATCCTGTTTCACAGATTGGCTGCCCGTCTATTGTCAACCTATAGACCGGCTACCCCATCAGATACATACACCTCTGTGAGGACGGAGTGTCATGGTAGTAGCAATTCTGATGTTCTTTGTCAGAGCCCTACGATTAATTGCACATGAGTTAAGGGGTGGGCAGTGTTGACATGTCCTCAGACTCTTTCCCCTTTGCCTTGATTGGCTCCTTGTTCCCTGTATCTAGTTGAGGGACTGGAATGCCAGTTATCTCTACTAATCCTGAGACATCTTATACCATTAAAGCCACTTTTTCTTTTAAATTCCCAAGTCAGAACTGGTTTCATTCATCTACATAACAAGCCCAGATGGCTTGCATCTTCAGTGTGTGAAGAAGTGCTTTTCAGTATCTTTTAATCACTTCATTATGCAGAAACTAGAAAGACCCTGTCGCCTAGAAATGTGGGTTTTTTGAAATGTAGGGATTAAAATCACTATCAGCGCTATGGGTCTCTGTTTAAATGGAAGCTTATTACCCCTGTTCTGATTTGATGTCACATTAATGAAACAGCCCTTTTCAATTTCCATTTCACATCTCAGAGATGGCTTTGCTCTTCAATTTTACCTTCATCTTTCCCCTTTCCAAAGCGATCAAGCTCTTTTTGTTTGATTGAACTTGCATCTCCACTTTCTTGGCTTTTAGAGAGTTTCATGGCCGTTTTAGAAAAGGATGCCAAAGAGCGAGCAAGGAAAAGGAAGCACAATGAAGCCTTAGCAAACGGTAACAGTTTGGTTTTGACATGTCAGGGGAAGGGATGGGAGCTGTCTAGAAAGAAACCTTGGTTTTATGTGATGAAGCTGCTCTATTTTATTTATTATTTATTTTACATATTTATAAACCACTGTGCCAAAGCTATTGAAGTGCTGCTGAAGAAATACAACCTGTGCCATTAATAATGATTGTGCAACCCGTACAGCACATAGGCGACAATTATTCACACAATTAATATTCTTGTTCACCATTTATCAGATTTGTGAGAATAAGACAACTACTTACAAAATCCCCTGAAAACTTATAAGCTATGTAAAATAAAGTGAACTTGCAGTATCAGATTTTACTAAGTTCTTACAACTTCTTGACTCAATTTTTGTTTTTTCTTGTTTTTAGGTAAGTTCAAGAAGAAGGTAGGTAATTGACAGGGCCAGTTTATTGGGGTTGGCTGATAGTCCACTCCCTGAGCACAGTTTTCTGGGCTTCCTCAGTAGTCTTAAGCTATTCAGTTCTTTATGCTTAAGCCAAGAAATTGTTTCTATAACTACATTTAGCACTAATAGACACATTAATGGCTCAAGACTACTGAGGATGAAATAGCAGCTCTTCAACTTTATGGATTGCTAGGGCGAAACAGGGATAGAACGCTGGCGCCCTGTCTTTCATCTGCACTTCACAGCTACCAGGAACATCGCTACCTTCTTGAACTTACCTAAAAAACAAGAAAAAACAAAAATTGCGTCAAGAAGTTGTAAGAACTTAGTAAAATCTGATACTGCAAGTTCACTTTATTTTAGATAACATAAGTTTTTATGGCATTTTGTAAGTAGTTGTCTTATTCTCACAAATCTGATAAATGGTGAAAAAAATTTTTTGAACAAGAATATTAATTGTGTGAATAATTGTCGCCTATATGCTGTACGGGTTGCACAAAGCTATTGAAGTAGCATACCATGAGATAAAATAGAAAAGATAATAAAAACCAGTGCTACAGTTGTACACATAAGATTTCGTAAAATGTCTGGGTCACACCTCAGGCTACAGAAGGAGGGTCCTGCCGCCACAGATTCTGTGAACAGCACTGATAAGGCATAGTCAAAGAATAATGGATCATTTGACTGCTCATGTATCTTCAAATATAGTTTACGGTGGTCAAATATTTAATAACGTCAGGTTATTACAGCTCAGCAACGGCAACGAGAGTTGATGAAGGTTTTAACAGGATATGAGAATCTTGCAGCTCAAGTCCTAGTTGTTTATTGTGAATCAGGATGTTGGTTCATACCCCCCACCCCACCTACTTTCCAACCAACATTCTGGGTCTTACCTAACAAAGGCTTTTTATGCATCTGGTTATCATTTCCACAGCACTGAAAGAAAAAGGGAACGATGCTTTCAGCAAAGGGGACTATGCACTGGCTATTCAGAAGTACACTGAAGGCCTCAAGAAGCAAAAGGATATGCAGGTGCTATACACCAACAGAGCACAGGTCAGTGTGGGGCAAGAACGACAAATGATGGCCACTTTATCCCCACAGCAGGTAGTTGATTTGGTGATCTAATCTTGAGTCTGAATATAACCAGTGCTAAACATAAAGCCATAGATTCATGGTTGCAATTGAAACAGACCACCTGGTTTATTGGTAAACGATGCTTTATCTGGAAAATAATATTATTTTCACATTGGAAGATTATGAACTTGGAAGGAAAACATGGCAATGTTATTCTAGTCATTTGTAACATTGGGTCACCAACTCCTGCCAGATCTCCTGCATTTGAAATGCATTCATTTTCTTTATGCATTGCATGATCCCCAGGACTGTATAGCCTTGGCTTACTTTTGCCCTCCCTAGTACCCACCTATCTGCCAACACATCGCCTGCTTCTCTCATGAGAATTGCACAGCTGAGCATCAGTGATGCCCGTTTTCAGGCAAATTTTGACTTTGGGAATTGGCATAGGGGCATTTTCCATTTCCATCACAACATTTTCTGGTGCCCCACAGAATTGTCTAAATTAGCATGTTTATTTAGCAAACAGTGCTAACCACTGAAACTTTCAGGCTTGCCAAATATTGTATTTGCGATTTCAAATTACGTCCAATCATGTGCAGTAGTCAGAAGCATCATCTGCTTATGCAATCTGGGACCTGGATATTCGAAAGGTTTCCTCTGCCTATGTGAAACCATCCCAATGCCCTTTTAAAATGTGTTGGGCTATTGGGTTGTTGTTTTTATTTTGATTATGTATTTTGTGGTTTTATATTCTGATTTTATTCTGGGAAATGGCCTGAGACCTGCGGGCATAGGGCAGTATATAAATTCCATTAATAATAATAATAATAATATCATCGAAGGTTGCCATTTCAGGTCCCCCTCCCCATGCCCTGCCAAAAAGAAATCAGACTCTCTGGGCTTGTGCCAGAGATTGGGCCTTCTCCATGCTGGCACTAAGATTTTGCAATTCCCTCCCCAGGGATATCCAACAAGCCACATCTTTGTCTATTTTTACATGGACTTTAAAAACATCATTGTCCCTAAATGTTTTTTTTAATGTTTGTTTGTTATTGGTTACTTTCTTTTTATGCTGTGCTGCTTTATTAATTGTGAGATTTTGTTGCTTTTATTATTTTAATTGTAAATTGTCATTCAGCGAATCTGTTCTTAAAAGGTGGGATATGCATATGTAAAGTAAAGAAATCAATAAATTGTGCTAGTTCTTATGGATACATAAGAAGGATGCATATATAAGAGGCATGACAGGTTCAAAAGAAAAGTATAGATTGGTGGGATTACCGGTAGTATAGCACAGTGGGTTTTAAAAAGGGGTGGTATTCAGCTAAGTATTGAATACACTGTTGTTTGCATTAGTCTGTCTCAAGAGATAATGGAGCGCACCTCTGGGGGTGAAGTCAAACCACTGTGTTAGCAACACCAACATGACCTCCCTGGAGTGCAAGCCTAGGCAGTGTGTCTTCTTCTTCTTCTTCTTCTTCTTCTTCTTCTTCGGCAATCACTCGTAGTCGAGTAAGATTGTTTTCCATAAACACGATTTTAACAATGAGTCTGTAAGTGACTGTGGAGGGCAGTTGTGTGTATGGAGGTCCTGGTCTACCCAGACGACAAGGCCCTCATCTTGGCCTCGCTGATGTGGTCCAAAGGGGAAAAAAGAGCAATATGTTTGGCACCAGCTTGACTGCAGGAGTTGACAGAAGGAGGCGTACAAGGCGCCATGCATCTGTCTTGGGAGATTCCACTCCAGATTTGTGTAGAGTTTACTTCTTAGCCTTTTCTTCTCCCAAAGATCTCCCGTAGCATAGCGGTGGTTTAGGATCAGTGTTTCCTTCTCCTACCTTCCCAGGTTAATGAGCCCCATCTGCCCCTTTCTTCCCTCTGCACACAGCAGGTGCAGTAGCTGCCTTTTTAACAGTTTGACCTACTATTAGTTTCATCTGCTCAATCTGCCAGAGTCTGTCTTCGCATGCAGGGGAAGCCCCTAACTAACCAAGGGTTTGAGACCCATCAGCTACCATCACCTGGTTGACCAGTCGAAGTCGTATCCCAGGGTGTGGCCTCTGTTACATGCTGACAGCTTCTAGGTGCCACAGGTGATAGCTGAGTGCAGGATGGAGACCAAAGGTAAAACTCAAAGTGTTTGCCCTATTTCCAACCAATACCCCTTTGGAGGCACAAATAATTCAGCTAAATGTGCATTACAGTTGCTCCTTTGAAATGTTAGCCAGACCTTCAGCACCTTCTAATGAGAACATAGGCATAGTCTTTGTGGGCCTTTCTAGCGTCTAAGCATGTTCAAAATGAGCTACAAGCAGCTCTGTGCAATTCTTGCGTCACCTTTCACATTCCTTATAATAGGATTTGATGTGCTTCATTTCTTGCCATGTTCTCAACAATGAATATTAATAGGATATCTAGGAGAAAATATGGTCGAAAGTTACTGGCAGAATATTGCAGACTCTGCTCTTTGACAAAGCTCATTCAATTCCACTTATCCTGCATTCTGCTCTGTTAAAGGGGATGCAACTCAGGCATGCTACATGGCTACTGCTGACATCCTGAAAGATGCTAAAAAATGAAGCCAAATTCTGTGGTACAAAAGTGGTGTAAGACAGTGTGCATCTGTGGCTCCTTGGCGGCTCTTAAAATATCAGAGTCCTTAGATATTTTTGTGTGTATATGTGTGTGTGTGTGTGTGTGTGTGTCCATTAGCAGGTGAACCAAGCTTTCCTGGTCCCAACATGTCATAGAGTTGGGGATCTGACAGGCTTTACACACTGGAAAGCATGGGGTGTGCCGGGGCAAGTTGCTTCCCTTCCCTTGGGGTATATCTTGGTCACCAGGTTGTCCACTACAGCGCCTAACTGGCAGCATAAAAACTCCAGGACACATTATTTGAAAGCTCGCAAAGTGCCACTGCTCATTCTTCATAAAGAACTCTATGCACTTCACATCATGAGTGGAACTCTCCAGATCTGTACTGTCATTTTGTCAAGCATTTTAAGAGGCTATTACATCATGTGGTTGGTCACGAACTCTTAGATTCATCTCTCACAGGACAGCCAACTGATGCAAAACACATCTGTAATATTGTAGTTTTGACCTGCAGCTTTTTGAAGAGCCAGATTCCTCTGATTTAGGACTTTAACTCTTAAATGCCTTTGTAGGAGGAACAGCTTCTGTTCTAATTAATGGTGCTTTTGACAATAATTGAAACAGGGCTGGAATTCATTGCCTTAAACCCAGAGGCACAGAGGACCCTTTCTGATCATGGGTTCAATGCTTTTTGACCTCTCCCTGTTTTCTCTGGTTTAATTTAATTGAAGACTCTGTGAAGGTTTGCCTGGGAGAGTAAGGAGCATCTCTCAAGGGTTACTTTTTGTAGCCTTTCCAGAGTGTGTGCAGGTTTTATCACTTTAATTGAGTTTAATTAATTAGCTGAGATCAGTTGAATACTTTGAACAAGGAAAGATTCACAAAAATGACCTGGCCTTTAGTTAGCAACTGTACTTCAACTTATAGTCCTCTGTCGATCCATTTTGTTTCAGGCCTACATCAAGTTGCAAGACTATGAAAAAGCTATCAGTGACTGTGACTGGGCTTTAAGGGTAAGAGACCCCCTACATTTCTCAGCTGGCCAGTGCTGAAGAGGGAAAGTGTTGGGTACATTCAGCCTAGTGATGTGTGAATGAGACAATACAGGTGATGGAGGGACTGGGTAGATCCATCTTCCAAGCTATTAAATACAAACCAACCATTAAAAGAAAAAAGTACCCCAAGGAAAGTTTAGGCAGCCAGATGAGGCACTTTTCATGGCACAGGGAGGTAGTAGCTATTCTAGAGCATTGTGAGAAAACTCTCACGCTTTTCCAAACCTCTGTGCTTAACAACCCTTTGTTGCCATGAACCTCTCTGTTGCTTTGTGATGGCACTTACAGATGACAGTCAGGCCAGGTAGATGAGGATCTGCACTTGGATCAAGGGGTCCTTGCTGTTAGGCAACCCAGTCACTCTCTCAAACCATATTGCTGGTGGTAACATGGCTATCATGACTAAGCTACTAGTCTTGAATATATTACTTCCCTTACCAGTTGCTGGCTATCACAAATGGGGAGAGTTCCATTACTCTCATACCTTACTGGTGGGCTTCCTAGAGGTATTTGGATGACCTCTGAGAACAGGATGCTAGACTAGATGCACCATCTAGTCCAGTAGATGTTCACATGCCTGTTCTATAAAATGGAAATCTCAGGAGGTCAAAATGTGCTGAAGATTCCAAAATTATTCGCAATTAAAGAAAGGTGTTGCATTGGTTATGATTACTGGATTAAAATTAAGTCCTATGCTTCCTTAAGAGACACTGAGTTGTCTTCCTGGACACAGTTTCTGACTTTTCATTAAAAACCTAAATGAGATGCTAGATGTCCCAGAGCAGAGAGGTTTAACATTTATATCTCTCCTTTATGGAACAAATCTCCCAATTTCTCATTTGTTTCAATTCAAATATTTAATTAAAGACTGATATAATTCATGATAAATTAATTACCTTGTGACACTTTCTAAGATACGTGTAAAACTTGAAGATTAATATTCTTGTTCAGTTCCCCGAGCATATGTGACATTGACATATTCACTTGACACCCGGAACAAGGAAGAGCTGAACGATGATGCATTTTAAGTGATTTTTTAAAAATTCTGATTTCCATTAAGCAGTGCATTGCTGACAAAGCTCAATTGTGTCACCTCAGATATATTAAGATATTCATGAGTTTGTGGCATTCACTTAAGGCAGAAGAGACCAGCTGATCCGCTGCCATTTGAAATCTGATTTTCTTGGTTCTTTAAAAAGCCCACAAAACTTATACTGGAGTACAGGAAGTCAGAATACTGTTCCAGCTAGCTCAGTATTGTCTACACTGTCATTTGCTTTCGGGGTTTCAGGCAGCGGGTGTTCCCAGCCCTCCCTAGAGATGGAACCGCAGACCTTCTGCATGCAAAACAGATGCTCTTCCGTGAGCTGGGGCTCTTTCCTCCAATCAGCAAGGGCCTGTTTCCACTCTCATCAGTATTTATGCAGTCACCCTGTGAGATTCACTCAGCCATAGGCTCCCGTATGATCACCTGGAGTGATTCCTCAGGCATTTGTGCTCCTTGGCCTGCCAAGGTGGCACCCTGTTTTCCCTGGAGGATTCCTATGCTGGGGTTCCATAGAATGTCTTACAGCTTGTCCCTCCCACAGAGCTGGAAGAGGAGTTATGCCAGGCAACTCTTTCCTGGATTGCCTGGGAAATGCACTCCAGCTGCTACTTCCCATGTAGTCAGCTTGCTTATTGCAGATTAAAGTGCTCTTCCAAGAGGTCCTCTATGTTGTATGTGGGTGGGAGTGATGTTGCTGTTTTTGGCTGAGAATCTGCAGTTTCACAGCCGTAGGGTTAATCTGGTTGTGCATTTCCCCAACTCAGTTCCTTTCTCTTTGTCCTTTCTCGATGAATAATTTCTGCTTATTTTGTCAGGGTTCCAAGGGTATAGCCCTATATCCTGATCTGACTAGGATTTTTCATCTCCCGCCAGTCTTTACTGGCTTTTGACATTCTGTGTTTGGGGCTGTTCACTCCCCAAAGCCAGAAGGCACATTAACGCCACTTCTTGCAGCCCTGCCTGTCAGTGGATGTTGAGTGAATGTTGTCCTTGGCTGTGATCCTGTAAGTACCTGCAGCCAAAAGCTCCTTTGTCTTCCAATGTTGGTGTTGCTGTCCCAGTCATTTGCCTTTAAGATGAGAAGAAAGACTAATGTCCACTTAGGATTTGAAGCCTTGAAAGCTTTCTGAAAGATTGTTTTTCCTGCCACTTGTAATATCATAAGTGATGTTGATTTAGCGGGGTGAGGGTGGAAGCACTAGACAGCAGGCCAGCAAAGGTGCAGCAAAACAGCTGCTTTCCCCAAAAGTCTGGTGAGTATCTGTCAGTATAAGTGATGACCACATTTCAGTATAATTTCCTGCCAGGGTGGCTGAACAGCGTTTTAGATGTCCTGATAGCAGACACCTTTAAGAATTAGATCAATCTGGGAGCCCGTCAGTTTGTTGTTGCAGCTTACTTGGAGACTCTGCAGATGTGAGATTTGGATCGTGGGACCAGCCGTTTGACCTTGACTTTGAACAGAAATGTGTTGGCAGGAAGGTTTGGTGTCTGCCCTTGGCATGACTAATGCTTTGCTGGAGCAGCTGCATGAGAAAATGAACTTGATGCATGAAAAATTGGACCTGATGAGTGCTGTGGCCAGTGAATATGATTTAACAGGGAATAAGGATAAAGAAGTTATACAGCGATCAATTCAGGAACCTGGTTTGACAAGGCAAGTCCAAGGGCAGATGGAGAAAGAAGAGGCAGTGATTACTCCTCAAACAACACAAATGGAAAGATCCAAAGTCCTGCAGGAACAAAAGCTACTGCGTTGGAAGATTGAACTTGGAGACTGCCGGGAAGTATTTGAAGTCAAGGAAGCTTTTAACTCTAGTGGGACTATGAAACAGGTGAACAACTATCTTCTGGATAAATATTTTTTGGATTACAAAGATGAAGACGGGGAGTGGGACTGGGGGGAAGGGGCCAATCTGATGAAGGAAAATGGAAACTATTACCGGATGGAACCCTCCGGAGACCCACTCCCCAAGAAACCAACAATTGACAAAGAAGTGCGCAAGCACAAACAGGAACAAAAAAATTGCAGAAGGGGCCTAGAAGAGATTTAAGGGCCTCGGACATTAGAACACCAGATTGATGGACTGGATGTAATGGACAGAAAGGACTGACATGACCCGAAACCAGGAAGAAGGGACATTGGATAAAAATTAGAGATATCAAGGGAAATTCTTTTGTTAATTTTGGAATTAGTGCAACATTAATGAAATTTGAGGGAATATGCTGGAAAGGAATTAAATTGGCTTTAGTAGAAATGATTTTAAGGAGATATGTATGAATATGATGTAAATTTTGAAAATTTAAGATTTTTAAGATAAGAAAAGGTTAAAGAGATTAAGGTAAATTGAATAACAGACTATATTAAAAGATGGAAAGGTTATCTTGATTAATAAATAAGAGAGATTGTGAAGATTAATCATTTAAATTAAAATTGAGAAACATGGGAAGAATTTGCTGAAATAACGAATTAAACTAGAATACAAAAAGGGAGGTGTGAGGAGGTTCAAGAATTAAGCAAATGAAAAGTTGCAATCTGAGATTTGTATCTTTCTTCTTTCTTTTTTGGGTTTTTTCCTCTTGTTCTATTTTTTGCTGTATATTTTTCCTCTTTTTTCTTTTTTTTCCCTCTGTGTTTCTTGTTTTTCTTTTTGTGTTTATGTATTGATGAAATTTTGAATAAATATCACTCAAAAATAATAATAAAAGAATTAGATCAATCTATTTGATTTCACTTCTTGGGCCCCAAGAGAAGCATCGCTGCCTTCTAATTACAACATACCTGCTGCACAGGTTCACCGTTTTGTGCTCAGGGCTTGAAAAAGAAACACGACAACAGACCATTACCAGCTCTTCAACTGCCAGTCTATGGTTTCCCAAACTTGGGTCTCCTCCTCTTTTTGGACTACAACTCCCATCATCCCTAGTTAGCAGGACCAGTGGTCAGAGATGATGGGAATTATAGTTCAAAAACTGTTGGAGACCCACGTTTGGGAAACCCTGTTTCAGTCAATCTGGAGACATTTTCAAGTGGCTAGAATGTGGTTTCTTAAAAATTTTGTTGGCTGCCTTGTGTTTTGAATCATGGCCAAAGTCCAGGCTCCTTAGCATCCTGCAGTGGCATTCCTTCTAAGGGTGGTAGGCAGTTGGTTAGCATGGCATTTCCCTATGAGTCTGGGAAAAGCTGGAACTCAAGGGCAGAGCACATACCTTGCATAGATGAGGTCCCAGGTTCAATCCCCAACAGCATCACAAGGTAGGGCTAAGAATGTCCCTTGCCTGAAACCCTACTAGTCAGTGTGACTGGGTGGGCCAATAGTCTGACATGGTATAAGGCAGCTTCCTGTGTACCTGGACTTTGTCCTGGCTTGGTGGGACACTTTATTATAAGATAGTACTCTAAAGGTACGGAACAACTGTCAGTTTGTAGTAACTGACTGTTGCCGTTATTGTGTAGTGCCAGGTCAATAGTGGAGACCGATAGCTGAAGGCTTAACTGAATAATTCTGTTCAATACAGTGTGATGAAAAATGCATCAAAGCTCTCTTCCACATGGGGAAAGCATATTTGGCCCAGAAGCAGTACAGTAAGGTAAGACCTGTTGACTTTTAGGCATTCATATCTGTTCTATTCCAGTTTAAACATTCATTTAGACAGTTATCCAGAATTCTCTCGGTTTTCACACGGCTGACTTCTGTTTGTTCTTACATGCTTATATGTTTTTAGAAAGAAAGGCGAGCGCCAAAAAGAAGGTATGCTAAGCAGCCTGGTCCTGATGAAATCATGTTCAGAATGTGTAGGTTTCCTGCTTTTGCAGTTAACTTGCTGACAAAAATGTTGCAAAGCTTTTTTATGGGTTTTATTTTAAATCACTGGTTGTCTCTATTCTAAAGGAGGAAAAGCAAAGGAGTTGATCCATGTCTGGGTTGGAGATACCCAGGAGAAAAAGTAGAATTTCCTTTCTAGTGCCTGTCTACAGGAATGTTTGATAATGAATAGATTCAGAGCAGGCAGGGAGGGGAAAATGTAACCCTTTCTTGCCCTTCTTTAAATTTAACCTATTTCCTCTGAAGTCAGTATTTGCATTGGGAGGAAATCCCCCATTGATGGATCTCCTGTAATTGTCCCTCCTGTAAAATCTTGCCCTTTTGCTTTCAGTCCAGAGAATGCTACCTGAAGATTTTAGACATTGATCCTGGAAAAGAGAAGCTGTGCAAAGGTAAGGAGTATAAAGAGCCTTTCACTTTCCTGCTGCTGTCATCCTGCTGTCGACTTTAAACTAACTTCCTGTATTTTGAAACACGATGTTTGTACTTTTGGCTTGCTGCTACTTAAGCACCAGGACCCGACACTTAATTGGAACACCGTGCTTTACGTTCACTGAAATCCGTTCCATTAGTTTTTGCTATAGGTTATGTGTCCTGTTTAGGTCTACATCCCCCACCCCTTTGGACTTTCAGACTACATACACCAAGTAGACCTGGAGGAGAAAAGGCAGCACGAGGAGGAGAGGGCCATGGAGGAGCTTGAATCTGGAAAACACACAGCTGTGTCAGTGAAGGAGTTGCTCCAGAAGCTCCGCATCCCTGATGAGAACATTCTGTACTATGCGGATGGGATTAGGCTTCTGACTGCGTTGATGCAAGACTGTGAGTACCCCCAGGATGTGCATATAAGTAGCAGGCCTCATGTTTGAGAGGTGCTCAGCACTTGTGACCTGAAATGCTGCTTACTGAAAGCCTCAAAGAACACTGTTTTGAGTGGTTTGTGCTATGCTGCTTGCTGCTCCCTCTGTCAGCCCTGACTTTAGTGATCTTGTTTCTTATCTCTGGGTATTGGGTGAGCATGTCATGATACTTCTCTGACATGATTATCTTTGAATTTGTTACAGGCACTGAGCAAGCCTTATTTAGGACAAACAATGGCTTCAGTATCATCAATGACAACGCAGTCGTGCAACGGTAAGGTCTCTCAGGTGAAGAGAACAGAAGGGTGTTACAGGCCAGAGCAATAGCAAGTCTATTTCCAAGAAACACAATCGCCCGTATGAAATTCAGATGGGCTGATCAGCCGATAATGTGGCAGCCAGTTGCAAAGTTTTACTGACTTCTAGGTGACCCTTTGCACACACACAAAAATCTGCTCTTTTGGATGTGTAAAGGAAAATTGACTTTGGTGCATCCTCCATGCTCCTTCTGAAGGCTTAGTCTTTTTAATTTGTCAAGCCTGTGGGCAAGTGTAGGTTAGGAAAGCATAACATAAAAGGGTATCAGATCTAGGAGTTCTAAAGCACCACATTCACCCAAGGAGGAAGACCTCCACTAGTTTCAGCCAAAGGCAGTGTACACTTTGCTGATTTTCACCAGGAAGGGAGTTCAGGCCCCCTTTGCTCTAACTGCTGGAACTTTTTCTCAGTATCTCTTTAATGTTTTTAGAATCAAAGCAGAGGATCTTCCTGCAGGATTTATGAGCTCCTTGCTTCATAGTGTTTCATTTTTGCAATGTGCTAAGTTGTACTTCTTGAAAAGCAATAACTCTGGTGACTTTAAGTTCTACTCTCAGCTGCCTAAATCTGATGCCAGGAGGAGATCAAAGACATTTGTTCACTGCTGATTTCTTTTTAATTCTTTCGGAAAACAGAACAAAGAGAGATCCAGGGGAGCTGTAAGTGGAATGAGTGAATGCGAGCAAAAGCCGTCTGTGCAAAATGTAATAGTAACTTGAATGGTATCTTGAAGTCTGCAGTGATTCAATCCATTAGGATGGGAAGAATCTTTTAATGGCCTTCTGGGAGAAAACAGGAGGCCTCTTGTAAGGCACCTGGAGAAATGTTAAAGCTTAGAACTGAGGTATAAGAACATAGGGAGCTGCCTTATATTGAGAAAGACCATCAGTTTTTGCTTTCTAAGTAGACAGATAAAATCCTGCACTCTCTGCTGGTGTGGCCCTGAGTGGTGTGGGGGGAACAATTTTTTTGCCAGCATAACATTGCTGTGTAAATAAATACATGGCCTGGCTGGGCAACATCCAGCCTGAGAAAGCACCTTTCATGATTCAAAAGCCTGCACCAATGTTTTAAACCCCAGTTTGTCCAAACAAAAGGCTGTGCCTCACTTGCTTCATGTTTCCTTATTCTGTGGGACCAACACATCTCCTAGGACCTGCCCCTCTCCTTGATGTTTAATGAACCTGTTTATTTTCCAGGGTTTTCCACACCAAGACAAAATCTCCTGATGAAGTGGAGCTGTTTATTTCCATTCTCCTTCTGTGGCAAGCAGCCTGCAAAGACAATGGTAAGCAACATCAATTATTGTTAATGTATTATGAATACGGCTTTGACTCTGCTTGGAAGCATTGTTTTCAGTGATTCACTCCTGCGAGTGCTCATCTTTCCAAGATCCTGCAACAAAGATTTGCAGGTCAAATGTAATTACGGCAAGTACAGCATTAGCAGTGAGCCTCTGGACTTCCCACTAACAACTCCCTGAGGCCCTTCACAAAGCTTCTGCCCATTAAACTTTTTATATTCAACCTGCTTCTGGGAACTCCCACCTTGGCCTCCTCTTTGCTTGTGCTTGGACAAGCACTTTCTTAGCTATTAATAACTAATAGTCCTTTGTAGTTAATAATGGCAGTGGTGTAGCAAGATTACCCCAGGGGAGAGGTTTTGCATCATCTTATTGTCTTTTGTGTCCATGTGGTTCTGAAAATCCTTGACTTAAGTTATGTGTCAGTGCCAGATTGAAATGGTTAGACATGGCTCAGTCTCACATTTGTGTTAGACAAAGGAGTCCGGCTAGCGTCAAGCTTTCTCTGAAGGCATGTTCTCAGAAATGAGATGGTTGCAGGATAGAGCCAGAGGGACCAGAGGTTTCTTTCTTTAGGGAATGGACTTTCAAAAAGATGGTGGAGAGAAATAAGCTAGACAAGTTTCTGGAGCATGAAGTTGTTCAAATTAAGCCTTAAGCTGCACTTCTTGTGTCCTCCAGTGATGCTTGAAAGGTAGGACTAAAAGAGACATGTGAATTGCTTCTCATGTATGAATGAGATATATAATTTGCCCTTTAGAAATGGCACGAGGGAGGAGAGAGGGAGGGAAAGGGAGTAATGGAGAGTGCAGACAGAACACTCTTCCTTTTACATTACTCCTACAGACATATCCCTCAAGCAGATGACAGAGCAGTGCTCACATAGCTGAGTGATTTTGGAACAGAGACAAAATTGCTGACAAAAGACTTTCAGAGCACCTGGTGGAGCAAGCTGAAATTTTCTTGTTTTTCTTTCTTGTTTTCTTTTCCAGAGGAGAACCAGCGCCTGCTTCTCACTCATCCTGATGTCAACCTGCAACTTCCTTCTCTGTTGCTCTCTGAGGTGCCCAAAATCCAAGAAGAGTGCTTAGCCCTGCTTTCTCTCTATGCAGAAACAGAGAATGGGAGGATCCTGTTGGTCCGACACCTGGACACAACTAGGTATTGTATTTTAACCTGGCTTGCTTAAGCAGTCCCAGTCCTTCTGCAGAAACAAGGAAGAGCAGGAAAAATTGTCGGGGATGAAACATTCATGTTGGGGCTCAGTCTCTGAAGCTGAGATCACGAGCAGTACAAGCATCCTATGTATTTTCAGTCCCAGTGTTAGCTTCTCAGACTGCTTGGAATGGGACCTTGGTTTTTAAAGTTTGAGGAGCATTCCTTCAGCATCTTTTGCTTTTGGATTGGGAATTGGGCTTGTCTTCATTGAGTCTGACTTGACTTCCTTTTTTCCAGTTTCTGAAGAATCTTGCATTTGGCCTTGGGGCTTGCACTTCACTTTCCAGTGTTTTGTCAAGCAGCCACTTACTGAGGGGTGGGGAACAATTTTCAGATTGAGGGCTACATTCCCTCATGGGCAGCCTTCAGGGGCCACATGTTAGGGGTGCTTGAGGCAAAAGTGGGCAGAATAATAGGTGTGACAGAAGGGTACATTCTAGCCACACAAGCACCAGAATTGCCTGCCTGCCTCCTTGTATCTCTCTCACCCCTCTCTCCATCCAGGCAAGCAGGAGACCTAGTCACAGTTAAGCACTTGAAGAGGGGGACATATTCTGTAAGAGTTCCAAGGGCCAAACAGAGAGGCCCAGAGGGCTGGATTTGGCCCCTGGGCATGAGGCTCCCCACCCCTGTGCTCATCCAATCCTACACACCAAGGCTGTCCCTTTGGGTGGAAAGCAGGAAAAGGAATCGGGGTAGGGAGATTCTGCTTCCTCCTCCTTCAGCAATAGCTCCTTCCAGAGAGCCAGTGTGGTGTAGTGGTTAAGAGTGGTAGACTCGTAATCTGGTGAACCGGGTTCGTGTCTCCGCTCCTCTACATGCAGCTGCTGGGTGACCTTGGGCTAGTCACACTTCTCTGAAGTCTCTCAGCCCCACTCACCTCACAGAGTGTTTGTTGTGGGGGAGGAAGGGAAAGGAGAATGTTAGCCGCTTTGAGACTCCTTCGGGTAGTGATAAAGCGGGATATCAAATCCAAACTCTTCTTCTTCGTCTCCTTCGTGCTGGGCACCAGAGTTCAGAAGTGCCAAAGCACTTATAGACAAGCTGAAGCAAAATGTCTGCTCCTTAATTTCTTTAGGGAAACACACATCGATCTCCCTGGGTCCTCCCACCCACAGTAATAAGTTTGCTGGTAATAAAGAAAAATTCCCGCTGAGAAAAAAGAAACACAGTCTCTGGTGTAAATGACATCTCAGTGGTGTAATTAAAAGCAAAACACTTCACTGTTTTGCATTGTTTGTAAGCCTAGCCAGGAATTAAAAGGCATCTCAGTGTGTTGAAGAAGTCCCATCTGGTATCATGGTAAAAGGCTGTGCTCTTGCCTGCTTGGAAAGTGTGGTTTAAGCTTGTCTTGTTTTGCTATAGCCCTACATGGCGGATGGAGCAGGAATTTGCAAAGGTTTAGCAGAAGGTGAGGTGTAGATGAATTTGCAGCCGTTCGGGACTCAAAGCTATTCTCCTGGCATTGAGGGTGCCAAGACAGCGGCAGACTGAATTCCTATCTATTCTCTCCCAGCTCTACCATAGCTGCTGTATTCTCTGGGTGCTACATCGCCGCTATGGCAGATGTCAGGACCAGGGAGTGAATGAGCTGCAGCTGCTTTCTCTCTTGCTGCTTCTTCAAGAGATTTAAAGGTCTATCCAGTGTGTCTGAGAACATTGCTCTCGTTAGGGCTATAATACACAGGACAGAGATGACATTTTGTGCTAACAACCTGGTTGTTAAGCCAGTGCATGAAATGCTACGAGTGAAGGAAAACACTTTTTTTAACCTAACTGATGCTACTCAGATAAGTCAAGCACAAGGGACATAAAATTCTTACTTTTGCAAATGTGGTAAACCTCATATTGAAGCACCTTTTTGCAGTTAAGATACCAGGCATATCACTACAATTGCTTATATAAGCATGTGTTTCCAACTGCAATCAGGACAGATTTTAGTTATTGACTTGATCTTGGAGAAAAAGATCCACTTGCATTCTTCTTGTGCTTCATTTGGACCTTGCATCAATATTTTTTTAGTTTTAAGCTTGTGCTAGTCGATTTGGAAATTGGAATCAATAACTTCTAGGACTATAGTGCTACTGTGCAGCATTAAAAATGTGTGCAAAAGGGATAATCCACTTCGATTTGCTGTTTTTAACTTGGACAATCCCCCCAATTGAAGAATGACATAAGTTCAAATACATCATTTTGAAATCACAGAGGAACAAAAGACATTTCTAACACTTGTACCAACATTTTATAACATGAAGTTCCGACACTGAGGCAAATGCATTTTTTTAAAAAAATAGAATTTCTATTCATAATGCAGCTATATTTTGGTGAGTCAGACTCCTTTGTCCACTTCTGTAGAAAAGACCCAACACTTCACTGACCGCTTACTGTTCCAGATGACATAATTTGCCTGTCTACGCCAATGAATTGCTTGTCTCACCCACCCACTCTAGCTATTTCATGTGATTTTCTTAGCATGAAAGAAGGTGCATCAGAGATACTTGGACTGATAGTTTTCATTGGGAGAGTGATTGCTTTGAGTATAGCTTGGGTTTGTTTCCTTTCAGTGATAAGAACTCACTAAAACTTAGTCCTGTTCTCCCTCCTTCCCTCCTCACCTCTCTGTCTGTCTGTATGTCTGTCTGTCTCTCTCTCCCCCCTCCCTCTCCTAGGTGCCTAGTACAAATAAAAATTCAAGGTGACTTGGAATTCAAATCCAAGGCTTAAGCAGCCCAATCGGGATTCTACCCTGCTTGCTTACCTCTGCTATCTCACTGACCCAAGACATATTTGGCTTTGTTTTTCAGGTGGCTACACATCTTTATGTCCTTCATCAAGGTTTTTGACAGCAGAGCTAGATGTGCCTTGAAATTGCTGACCAGCTTAGTCCCAGAAGAGAAGTAAGCTGCCCTTCTTAGATTCCTTCCTCATCCAGAACTAGTTTTGGGAGTTTACTGAATCCTGACAATCATGACTAAACTGTAGACTGCTTTAACAGGGCAGGGCTTGCACCCTATCTCTGAGAAGACCTAGGTGGCAACCACTAAGATGCAAATCTCTAAAGAGTCATCTTGATTGGAATAGTTTTATGGAGGTTTGCTTGTTCAGAGGCAATGTATTGATGCCTGCCAATTGCTAGGGAGCAACAATGAGGGAAGGCCCTGGACTTCAAGCCCTGCTTATGGCCTTCCTGGAGGTATCTGGCTGGTTGTTGGGAGAAGCAGAATGTTGGAATACACGAGCCCACCTGGGTCTGGCATTGGTATGCTGTCTCTGACAATGGAGATTCCATAGGGCCATCATGACTAGCATCCATTGAAGGCCTTGTTCTCCATCAGTTTGTCTGTTCCTCTTTCAAGGCCATCGGAGTTAGTGTTCATCACCATATCTTGTCTTAGTGAATTATGACACTGAGTCAGAGGTTTGGGCATCTGTTTGGAAAGGCTTGGCAAGCTTAATATGTCCCTCCAGTCATCTGTGGAAGAACAAGAGCCCAGGCATCTGGTTGGCCACTGTAAGAACCGGATGAGTCATTGGCCTGATCCAGCAGGCTCTTGTGTTCTTAAGGTCTAAAGATCAGTCTCACTTTGTTACCAGGTTCAAAATTCAGTGCCGTATCAAACTCTCCACAGAGGCTTTGCCACTATTCATAGAATTACTGGTAAGAAAACCTCTCTCTCTTCCTGAATTTTGCTGCTGCAGCTTTGTTTCATTTCAAATTTCTGCAGGAATTATTTACAGCTAAAACTGAAATCCTTAACATAGATCTGGAAGATGATAGGCAGGATGAAAAGTTAGAAATAATTGAAGGCTGAATAAGGAAAAAGAAAAAAACAAATGGGTAGCTTGGATGTTTCCTGAAGCTCTTTTTGAATTCCCAGATTTGTCAGAGGGATTGTGAAGGTGGCAGGTGGGCATGATGAGTTTGGGTCTTGAGTAAGCTAGGCAGTTGCTTGTCTTTTGCCGTACCCTTGTGCCTAACTCTTGTGCACTGAGACGGGAATCACCATGGAGTCTGACTCTCTGGATCCGTGAAAAGGGATCCTGAATCTGTTTTTAAGTACTTTTACAAATACTAAATACTAAATCATGGTAAGACAATTCAGATAGAACTTTAGGTTCCCAAGGTGCTTCTGTCCCTCATCAGTGCTTCATCCATTTTTGTCCTCAGCAGTGGGGAAAGAGTTTGTTCATGGGTTGTGTTGCACACTGGAATTCAGTTGTTCTAAGCAGCAGCCCTGGAAATCCCTCCATTGCTTCTGGAGTTGAGTGACAAGGACATGACATGAGGTCCTCATAAAAGCTTGATGAAGCCGTTTCCATTAAAAAGAAAATTGCATTGTTGGATTGTTTTCTGCTGATCTCAGGGCTGCCCCCACAGAGATTTGGCATTTCCTCAGGAATGTTCATTTCCAAATACTGTAATGAAGGAATGAAGGATTATTTTTCAGTAGAGAGGGAATCTTCTAAAATTTCTAGTCTGGTTGTGGAGTATTATGGGTGGATATACAAGAAAATTCACATTGTCCCAACCTGTTTTCACTCATTTCAAAAGAGTTCTGCTGAGACACTGAACGAGCTGGGCCTCGCCCATTGCATTGCCATCATGGGAGACATGTGCTCAGACGTGGTCATCCGAATGCAGATGACTGAAAGCCCAGATTGCTGGCAGGCCTGTTTGAGCTTTCTGGTGAGTAGGTGTGACCTGGCAGCATGCTCTCCATTGCATTGGCTGGGTTTGTCCCCTCCCATCTGGTATGGACTGGGGTTGCTTCCTTCTCCTATTCCTACCTTTGCTTCTCCTACTGTGCTACCCTATTTTCAATATTTAATTCTTGCTTCTTAAATAAAACGCAAAAGTAAATACTGAATGCAAAATTGAGCTGCTAAGACATATCCCACCCAATAATAACGAAACACAAATGTTGATGCAATCATGGATAGAAAGCTCCAGAGTCATTTTTTTAAATGTGGCTTTTTGAAATGACCCTATAGTGCAGGGGTCAGCAAACATTTTCATCAGGGGTCTGGTCCACTGTCCCTCAGACCTTGTGGGGGGGCCGGACTATATTTTGAAAAATATAAATATCCTGCAAGCCAGTCCCGCAGCTGCCTCTGGACCTGGAGGAGGAACGCACTCTGCACACGCTCAGGAGCACGTCTTGGCGGCACCCGCTCACCGGCGTTGTTGACAAGCAGCAGCTGCTCCGTCGGCCCATCCCCCCGGAGCTCCCAGGCGGCGGGCACCACACGCTGTAGCCCATCATCCAAGGACAGGTCAGCAGGCAGGCCGCACAATCGGGGCACCAGGCAGGCGGCGCGCAGCTCACCCACCAGCTGCTCCAGCGCGGCCGCCGAGCGTGCCACCACCAGCAGCGCCGAGCCGGGTGCCAGGCATGGGACCAGCAGGTGCGCCAAGCTCTGGCTGAAGCCCCGTGGTGCACCCATCATGATGCCCATGGCGCAGCCCAGTCCCGCTGCCTGCCTGCCGGCCTCTCCATCCATGGCCACGCCAGATTTACTTCTGTGTGTGAGCGGCGAGGCTTCGGATTGGCCCCAGGAACTTCCTGCAGCCAATCCAAAGCTGCGCCAGCGTCACCACGCCCAGAGGCGTCCGCGGCTTCAGATTGGCTGCAGGAGCTTCCTGTAGCCAATCTGAAGCCGCGCCAGCGTCACTGCCTGCCCAGAAGCCGTGCCAGCATCGCGGAACTCAGTCCCCACATGGCAAGGCGTCCGCAGCACGTGGGGACTGACCGAGCAGGTGGCAGGGTCCGCGGGCCGGATTTATGAGCCGGGGGGGCGGAGTTTGCTGACTCCTGCTATAGAGCATTAACTTAAGTCACTTTTGCTTTAACCATACTCTTCCAAAGCACTAACTGTTTCAGAAAATAAACTTCATTCCTCACAAGTAGAAGTTTGTAATCTCACCTTTGGAATGGTGTGGGGAGACAGTCAGCTTGAAAGGGAAACCCCACCAGAAACCTTCCTTTCCTGTTGCAATGGAAAGATGACCACCTTTAACAACCTGTCACTGTTTTAATAGCATCATACTCTCTCATCTGGATCTACTACGGTGTTATGGTCTCATGTAACTAACTACCTGAAGTTGCCTCATACTGAGTCAGACCATTGATGCAAATAGTCCGTTAATGCTTGTGTAGTAATTGGCAACGGCTCTCCAGGGTCTCAGGGAGAGTAAATTCCTTTTCATCCTTTCATCTGGAGATGCCAGGAACCGAACCCAGGACCTCTTAAGTAGAAACATGTGCTTTGCCTGCCCCAAGGAGTGGTCAGATTCAATGAGTGACCAAAAGGGGAGTGCATAGTCCCTGGAGCAGGAAATATGAGGAAGCTATGAGCCCCAGACACTGAGATTTCCACATACCTGAACTGTTTTTGGGAAATCCTAGTGTGCTTATTTTGTCTTCTCCCTGTGAAGGATGAGTGCTGGAACAAAGGCAAGGCCACCAGATACCCAGAGTGTCTCTATGCACTGCTTGGCCTGATGATGAACCTCTCTTTGGAACCCAATTTGCTCCTTCAGGTAAAGTGTCGGGCTCTCTCACCTATCCTTTAGTTGATTTGTTGGTTTCCCAAAGTGGATTTGAATTTAATACCTTTTGTGAGCCTTCCCACCTCTACTGCTGTAGCTGTGAAGCTGTGTATGTGGTCTTTTACTTTCCCAGAATGTGCCACCCCCAGTTCCTAAGGACAGGTGCACCAGCCAGTGACCTCTTTTTTAAAATTAGTTTTTATTAATGGTTTCTTGTGTTACAAAACAACTAAACAGGGAAGTATCAGCTCCACTTTTTCAAAATTCATTTACATTTAGTGAGACACACTTTTGTCATAGACATCTTGCAGTTTGGGGAAGAGAGAAAGGGAGGGAGAGAGATGGGGGTACTGTTTTTCGTTCTGTTTCATAGTGTTAGCGTAGGGATTTAGGTCAGCATCACGTTGGTAGGCCCTTTGTTTATATTTTTATTTTTATTGACAAGAGATAGGGGGTCCAGAGCTTGGTTCCTCCCCACAATCAAAGAGCAATGGCAGCATCACATAGGATACGAAATAAACTCAACCCAGTGGTCAAAAATGTGGTCTAAACCACCATTTAAGTTCATCTCAGCCAAAGGAAGAGAACTCACTCTGAAATGTATCTACAGTATAGATGACATCTAAACACCACAGACATCATCGTTATTATTATTATTATTATTATTATTATTATACCGCCCTATACCCAGAGGTCTCAGTGCGGTTCACATAAAAAGATCACAGTATATAAAATAAAAATAAAAGCATCAACCCAATAATACCCCCTCCCTCCAAAAAAGAGCCACATTTTTAAAGGGTATGGGATGTTGATCAGGTCAACCAAAGGCCTGGTTAAAAAGGAATGTTTTTGTCATGGATACACCCAGGAACTTCATCTAAATTCTGGATAAGCTGCACCTCTATAACTTGCCAAAATCAGGCTTTTGGCTCTTGCAATTGCACATGAGTCCACTGTAATTGTTATTTAATATTATGCAACTGCATCATCCATGTCCTTGACACTTGAGAAAAAGGAGAGGGCAGGATAAGTTGGGATGAGACATAGAGTTGTATCTAAAGTAGTACTGAGTTAAAAGTCACTGAGCTGTTTGCTTGTTTCACTGTGCAGTGTTTTGGGCCAGTGGAACGCTGTTGCCAAGAGAATATATGAGCAGGTTGCTGGTAATTTGGTTACACGATAGGTGGCATATTATGCTGTTCAATGAATTTCCTCCAGTGCAGCTGTTGCATTCTTCTGTTGTGCTACATTAAAACTCACCGGTCTGCTAGTACACAAGTCCTTGCACTTAGCTGACGGAGAATGTTAGATGCAGTCCATAGTGACAAGCATTGTCGCCGAGAAGGGATCTGAATCAAAAACTGTCCAGTCCAAGTATTAATTTACTGCCCTGTGACTTAGAGCACTGTTATATGTCATACCTCAGAGGAGCCTTCCTGCTAATCCAGTAATTAGGAGCAGTAATTAAGCTGCTGTTCTCAGCTGACATTCTCACCTTATTGGTTCTTTTCAGGATCTTGCCATAGAGATTTCTGGGAAATGCATGTCCCTCTTTGACTGTAAAGAGGGAAGAATTGTGACAGTAAGTGGTACTTGAGTTGAAGGAAAGTGGTAGGATTAATGTGTTTTGTTGCTCTCACAGTGCTGTGATGTAAATTTGTTTTCTTATTGAGGTTTAATTATATATATGTTATATTATTATGTATTATATAATGTTGTACTGGCTTTGGTTTTAACAAAGAGAGGGCTATAAATTGCCTACATAATGCTCTTATGTCTATTCTTATCGTCTCTTGAGGAAGCATGCAGATTGGGACTGGGATGTTGCCAGAAGCAGAAAAAGGTTTGGGGGCAAAGGCAGTGGGAAGGAAAGAAGCAGGGGCTAGCTTGGAATGCCCACACGCTGCCTGCAGAGGATTATGGCTCAGAAATGAAGTAGCAGTATGTAACTGGTGAATCCTCCTCCTTCTTGGGAGTCACTTGTCTTTGCTCCCAACCATGATGCCTTTGCCATTCCACTCTGGCTTTAACTAAGGATTTTAGCTTGGGAACTGAAGCACAAATAAACATAGGAGTTGTCCTATAGCCTGAGCTATGCTTTGTCTCAGATTAATACCAAAACGAAGAGCCACAGTTTGTCAGGCATGATGAGCTTCCTTTCCAGATAATAAGTGTTGAGTATTGGCTTGCTGTTTTATTTTCTGCCTTGATGGTGTCTATCCAGCAATATATAAAAGTAAAAGGTCCAGTCAGCTCTAGCAAAGGACCATGACATGAACAAATATGATAGCTTGTTTTTTTGAAAGAAGACAAATCAACTTCTCTCTCTTACTGCCACCTCCAAATTTCTTCTCCTTAAGCGAGCAGCTGGGCTTTTAAGTCACATCCTGCCAATAAGTCCAGAGGCACGGGAAGAGGCGATAAAAGATGGCGTGGTGAGGAAAATGATCAGATTTCTCAAGGTAATTAGCCAATTTCAGGTTTCTATAACATCTAGAAAGTCAATGTTTTCATGACAATGCCCTGTACAGTGAAGGTATAGTTGAACCTGGGGTATAGGAGCATAGGAAGCCACCTTTATACAGAGTCATATGATATCTACACTGGCTGACAGTGGCTGTCCAGGATTTCAGCCAGAGCTCTCTCCCATCCCTACCTAGAGATCCTGGGGATTGAACCTAGGACCACGGGTGAAACTAGGCTTTATTTCACCTTGGTCAGACCCAGTTTGGCACTCCCCCATGTGTATTTGTGGACGCACACACACACACACACACACACACACACACACAGGCTGGGAGCCTCAATGGCACCCCTCTGGAGGCTTCACCCAGGGCAAAAAACCTGGCTAGCCCCCCCCCCCCCCCCCCGTTACAGCTCTGCCTGGGACCTTCTGCATGCAAAGGAGCTGCAGCCCTTCCCCTGCCTTATATTGAATCTGAAGCAAAAAGCACTGGGTACAAAATGGACCCTCTAGTTATACAAAAACTAGGGCTGCTTGTTACAGACATCTCTCTTTCTTTCCTGAAAATGTTAACACTTTAAGCTATATGGAATCAGAACTTTGATGCATCTAGCCTGGTACTCATTGCTGTTTTTGCTATAATGGAGCAAATTAGCCCAGCATTTGCCAGTTCTGAATTGATAGTGTTTTCCCAAAGTCTGTCTTGCTACCTGCTGCATGAGATGCCAGGGACTGAACCTGTGGCCTACAAAGCATGTGCTCAACCACTGAGCTATAGGCCCAACCTTTCCTTAGTATATATACACCTTAGAAATAATGTATGGGATTGCCCAACTACCTGCACTGCTATTCCGGTCCTCCCCCTGCTGCTCCTTCCCCTAAGTTGGCAATGTTCTTTCCAGTAATTTTTATAGTATTTTTGCCACCCTCTTCTGCTGAAAAAGGAGAACATAAGATAGCTGCTGTCCTCAGCCTTACAATCTAAAAGAAGGAGTTAATAAAAGGAAGGTACCCTGAATACGGCGGTGCGGGTGGCGCTGTGGGTTAAACCACAGAGCCTAGGACTTGCCGAGGTTCGAATCCCCATAATGGGGTGAGCTCCCATTGCTCAGTCCCTGCTCCTGCCAACCTAGCAGTTCAAAAGCACGTCAAAGTGCAAGTAGATAAATAGGTACCGCTCCGGTGGGAAGGTAAACGGCGTTTCGGTGCGCTGCTCTGGTTTGCCAGAAGCAGCTTAGTCATGCTGGCCACATGACCCGGAAGCTGTATGCCGGCTCCCTCGGCCAATAAAGCGAGATGAGCGCCGCAACCCCAGAGTCGGTCACGACTGGACCTAATGGTCAGGGGTCCCTTTACCTTTACCCTGAATACATTCAGTGCCCTGAATACATCTTAGCCCTTTAAAACCAGGGGAGAGGCAGCAGTGCACCCACCTACAATGGTACTCTCACTGCTTTCCGCTTCCTCGCCCAGGAATCCCAGAAGTTGTACTTTAGTGAGGAGGTTGAGATACCTCACCTCTTAACGTAACTATTATGTCTGGATGGAGTCACAGCAGATAAAGGATGCTTGGAAACTGTATGAGATTCATAGCATTGCTGTGCCTCACTCCTAGCATACCCAGTCTGCAACCATTTGAAGAATTCTAGGCATTCCTTTGGCATCTTAGCATGGCAGCAATGAGGTCAGTGCCCACTTTTGCCACCATTCCATCTTCACCCATGCAGGCTACTGCATGCATAATATAATGAATAGAATATAATGAATAAGTATAAGATGATGATGAAAAGCAAAATTTAGAAAATTGGCCTCCAGGTGGAAAAATCAAAACTAGAAACAGAACTGTTAGAACCCAAAACTAAGATTTTGTCAAAGATGTATAACCTGCTGTTGAAATGGAATACTCAGGATGAAACGGTGAAATCTGCTATGATTAAATGGGCACAAGATGTTGGACATAATATTATGTTTGCTGACTGGGAACAGTTGTGGACCACAGGTATGAAATTCACGGCATGTAATGCCCTAAGAGAGAATATTATGAAAATGATATACAGGTGGTACATGACACCAGTCAAGCTTGCAAAAATCTATCATTTGCCCGATAATAAATGTTGGAAATGTAAAGAAAACGAAGGTACATTCTTTCACCTTTGGTGGACGTGCCCAAGGATTAAGGCTTTCTGGGAGATGATCTATAATGAACTGAAAAAGGTATTTAAATATACCTTCTTGAAGAAACCAGATGCCTTTCTCCTAGGCATAGTTGGCCAATTGGTGCCAAAGAAGGATAGAACTTTTTTTATGTATGCCACAACAGCAGCAAGAATACTCATTGCAAAGTATTGGAAGACACAAGATCTACCGACCTTGGAAGAATGGCAGATGAAGGTGATGGACTATATGGAATTGGCTGGCAGAATCCGAGACCAGGGAGAGGAGTCGATGGAAGAAGATTGGGAAAAGTTTAAAGACTATTTACAGAAATATTGCAAAATTAATGAATGCTAGAATGATGTTGGATAGAAACTAAGTGGTCTTTAGCTGAAATGTTATAAGGGAATATGAAAAAATGGATTATTAATAGGTAAAAATTTAAAATTACAGTACTTTATGATTAACAAATATACAAGGATATACAAAGAGGGGAGGGATTTGCTGAACTAACAAACTGAATTGGAATACAAAAAAGGGAGACGTGAGGAGGTCCGGGAAATAAGCAAATGAAGGATAAGTAATGGAAAGAATGAATTGTTTTTAATTATCTTTATTTTGCATTTTTCTTTTTTCTTTTTTATCTTGTAATACTTTGAAAACCTTAATAAATATCTTATAAAAAAAAAAGAAAAGCAAAATTTAGCAGGAGCAGTGAGGAAGGAAAATAATTTACAGAGTGTTGGATGACTCCGTGGCCTTAGCTCTTCACCTCTAAATAATGTTTCGGCCCAGAGAAAATGGTCCGGGTACCTATGAAAGCTGAAAGAAGAGACCTTTTATACGTTCTATTTAATGTGCAGTGAAGCCATCCCTTGGATGGATTTATTCCCTTATCAGCAATTCATGTATGGAAATGAACCATAAGAAGCATCATTAGAACTGCATATTCTTTGGGAGTGCCCATATTCCTGTTAGAGGTCACAGACTGTTGTAGTGTTAGAGCTTGAATCTGATTATGAGGCACTGTCTGGGCATAATTAGGAGCTAATATATTTAAAGATGGAAGAAAATTATTACTCTCAGAATGCCTAAATACCCCATGATTTGCTGCCTTGTCATAAAGCACCCATAAACTTTCTGGAACTGAGGGCCTTGTCGTATATTTCCGAGCCCCAGAGTGCATAACTAGACGTTTAATGGATGCCTCTTTTTTTACTCCAATCCAGGCAGATGGGAAGATCACACATGGCTATGCAATGAAAATCCTGGCTGTTTGTGCCAAAAGTAGCCAAGAGGCACAGGAAGAGATTGTGAAGCTGGATAAAAGTAAGTCTGGCTGCAAAGAGTTGATCTGGGGCAAGGACCACAGACAGGGATCTCGGCTGTCTACAGGATGAAGCAGGACCGTTAATCCTATCTTACACCCTGCAGAATCCAAATACATTTAACAAACAGGGTAGCCTTCACCGCTGCATAATACGGCCTCCAGTCATTCTTAAAGTGCAGCCTGTTGTGCCTGTTTTCTATGGAGAAAATAGGTTTGTGTGCAGAACAGTAAACCACCATCTTGGAAGAGGAAACAGTATCTTGCACTCGTTTAAAGGGAACAGTTTAAGGAGCAGAAAAGAAGGACTCTGTACTGTAAGCAGAGTTGTTGGTTTTGGGGGGAGGAGGGGAAATCTATATTATAAGGCAAACACAAGCTTCCTTGTGAGCTTCACTCTTAATCCACATGTGGAGACCAGCTGGGGGGCACGTTTGTAGAGTAGAGATTAACTGTTCCCCGTCAGATTCTCCCTTAAAAATTCTCCCCTCTCCCAGCATCAATTTTGACATAGTCCCCACCACCACCACCACCAAAAGCTGGAAGCAATTGAGCTGGGGGAAGAAGGGTGGGGAGAGAAATGGCTCAAAAGAGGGGAGATTGCTTTGGAAAACGCGCAACTTTGGAAGGGTTATGCAACCTCCTCCGTTCTCTTCTTTGGGTGCTCCCTTTTCATCACCTTGGCAAATGTGAGTTGCTGCAAACACTTTGCTGAGGGGACACATAGCAAATAAAGTAACTAGTTCTGCCCTTAGGAGGATTTTATTGACCCCGATAGGGTCAAGGAGAGGAACCCTCCCACCTCCCCAGTTGTAGCCTGCCTATGGTCTGTAGTGCATTTGGGCCTCTAATGAGAAGCTGAGTTTTTGAGATTTTTTAAAACAATAGATGAGTGACAGCTTGATGCAGATACAGAGACATCACCTTGCCAACAAAGGTCCGTATAGTTAAAGCTATGGTTTTCCCAGTAGTGATGTATGGAAGTGAGAGCTGGACCATAAAGAAGGCTGATCACCGAAGAATTGATGCTTTTGAATTATGGTGCTGGAGGAGACTCTTGAGAGTCCCATGGACTGCAAGAAGATCAAACCTATCCATTCTGAAGGAAATCAGTTCAGAGTTCTCACTGGAAGGACAGATCGCAAAGCTGAGGCTCCAATACTTTGGCCACCTCATGAGAAGAGAAGACTCCCTGGAAAAGACCCTGATGTTGGGAAAGATGGAGGGCACAAGGAGAAGGGGACGACAGAGGACGAGATGGTTGGACAGTGTTCTCGAAGCTACCAGCATGAGTTTGATCAAACTGCGGGAGGCAGTGGAAGACAGGAGTGCCTGGCGTGCTCTGGTCCAGGGGGTCACGAAGAGCCGGACACGACTGAACGACTAAACAACAACAACAACACCTTAGTGCAGGACACCCTTTCTTAGGGCCACTTCTGAAAGCATGGTTCTGACATTATTCCTGAGCAACAACTTCAAGCTTTTGATCTTAGAGCTCATTTCAGTTCTCTTCCCCACCCCCAAATCAAGTTGTTGCATACCTTGGAAGCCTGCTCTGGGAAAGTGACTGCTCAGACAGTCATTAGACGTCTGCGTAATAATCTCCATCTAATTGCAAGGTAATATTGGGACCCTGCCTTGGAACAGGTTGACTTTTAGATCATTAGCATGTAACTCCTGCAAGCCAGCTTCCACGTGCATAGTGTTTCTTGAAAGAGGAGAGCAGTGTCTCTGTTACAATGGGATGAAGATGTCTCTCAAAGAAGTGTGAAATCCTTGGATCCACCCATAAGCAGGCACCTTGAAGGAAGCTCTCCTACCCTCCTAGCTTGTGGAAAGTCACACCAGACCCCTCTCGGTACAGAACTGCCCTTTGCTGCTTCAAAACCTTTTCAGCCCACCTCTCTGGTACCCTGACACTAAATTGCTTTCTGTCCAGGCCCTGTAGGTCAGCTTGCAAAATGGCTTCCCTGGAATGTGGGTGGAGCAGCAAGTAGCAGGTTGGCTCTTTTCAGTTTATTAAAAGATTTGACATGAGTTTAATCTGCATTTTCTCCCTACTCCCTGTCCACAGGGCAGCCGTGTTGCTGCTAGATCTTCTTTTCCAGAGAACCATGAGGGTGTTTGGCATTGAGGGGACAGAGTCTTTGTTTACATCCCTTACTCTTTTGCTGATGTTTGACACCGTTTCTCTTTGGCTCCACACAACCTTGCAGAATGTAAGATACTGCTGAAGTTTCTGCGCTCAGAGAATGAGGTGTTGGCAGGAAATGCTGCTTTCTGCCTTGGGAGATGCTTTGAGGTGCCCGGAGCAGCCACTAATTTGCTCGATGTGGATATTGTGCGGATTTTATTGAAAGTCGCTGGCAGGGATGCTCAGAGGACGTCTGCGCAAGAGAACGCTGCCATTGCTTTAGGAAAGCTCTGCACAGCTGATGCCAGGCAAGTATCCACAGATGTGGGCTCACTGAGGATTGTCCTTGTTCTGTTGGTTTTATTTATTTGTTTATTTGGCATATTTATGTCCTGCTGAACTACCAAGTGAAGTTCTCAAGGCAGCTTCCAATATATTTAAAATAAAGAAAGATGCTAAACGTTACTATGCATGTAATCACAAAAGGTGAATATTAGTTTTCCCTTGCCCTAGAAATAGCTGCCAAGCCCCTGACAGGTAAGTCTCTCCTTCCCTCCCTCATTGCCTCCCACAATCCCTGGCTCTGGAGACAGATGCAAGGCATGCTGGGGGAATAAAGGCTGAACCTCTGAGAAACTCATTTTTTATGGCTTTCTGGTCTCGTTCTGCATTTGTTCGTGCTAATATTTATTGGCAGCCACCCTTGGAACTGATGTTATTTGGCAGATTATGAACAAATATTGTAAATCAGTACACATTCAGCCACTTTGGTGGGCTTTATACAAACAGCTGTAGTGGTCAAGGCATCAAGCGGTGAATGATTTTTGTGAGAGAGAGATTATTGCTTGACTGTTCTGACACATCACAGCCAAGTAGTGAGATCAGGGTTTTCCAGTTAGTCAGGTTTTTATCATTCTTCAGACAGTGTCCATTATAATATCTTTTGTTACCCTCTGGAATCCCTTTTGACATGTGGAGTGGGCCAGGAAGTGCTGAGTTCTGAGTGCACAACATGTGGCTTTACTGTGCAGGGAGCATTTGCAGGAGATGTTGACTTCAGAATAGCTTCACCAACATTACATCAACATGTAAAAAAAAAAGCATTCATGGGCTTGCAAAACAGATTTCTGTCTACATAACACATTTTAGCAGTCTTGAGAAGCTTGAGTGGCTGGATCTTATCAGACTTGATATTCCCAGCTGGAAAGACACCAGGCTTATCCCCAGGCCAACAGCATTGGGCAGAATGTCTAAGGCTGCAGTCCTATGCACACTTACTTGAGCCCAGCGAGACTTGCATCTAAATAAAGGTTAATTTGATTGGGGCTGCAAGCCTCTTTGGCTGTGATCAAACTGGCTTGTGGGACTGGAAATGAGGGGAACTGCTGGATTATCCTTCTATTCCTATAAGAGAAACCCATTCACAGCCAGAGGGGCTTCTTCTTTCCCAGTTGTCGGAGCCCCTGGAGCCTGCCCCTGCCAGTGAAGGGTTTTGCACAAGAGAACCTGCCCTACCCAAAGAGAATTTGAGCATTTCTCAAAACTGACCATGAAAATAATCAAAAAGCCTCCATATGCTGCATAAGCTCCTTCAGTGCCTGTGCTTTAAGCCTGGTCATTCTCGATGTGGTGAGGTCAGCCTGAATTTGTTCTGATATTGGCTCTTCCTTTCCCCAGGCCAGAGACTGAATGGGCAAGGTATTGGCATACAGCCCTCGAGCCTCATTGCACCTTTTTGAAGCAGGACAGGTTTTGCCAGTTGCAGATGGGATGTTTGTGTGTATGTGTCTCATGCATACAGTTTGTGCAAGAGGAAAGCAACGATCTGCGGTGAAAGCGGGAATGTGCTGCAATGTGAACACACCCTCGTACAATAGTTCTCAAGAGTGTGGCGTGCTTTGATTCAGAACACATTAAAGTACTTCTTCACTCAGTGAAATGGAACTTGCTCCTTCCCACAGGAGGCAGTGATGGCTACTTACTTGGGTGACTTTAAAAGAGGATTAGACAAATTCATGGTTCCTACCCAGGGTTTCTGTGCTCTGCCTCCATGGTCAGAGGCAATATCCTTGGGAATTGCAATTGCCGGATACCACAGGACGGGAGATTGCTCTTGTTCTTGGGTCCCGCTTGCACGTTTTCCATAGGCATCTGGGTGGCTACTGTGAGAACAGGATGCTGGATTACATGGGTCCTCTTTGGCCTGATCCAGCAGACTCTTCTTAAGTTATTAGGGCGTTGTGTGAGAGAGATCTGGTGCCAGCCAATCCAGCTCCCCTGCTCCCCAGTATGCCAACAACAACTAAACTCTGTTGTGTCGGGAGGAGGAGGAATTTACAAATAATAAGCTTTTTTATATGCTGGGAAATCTATTGAAGAAGGCATGCAGGTTCCCTTTCAAGTTGCTTTCTACCTACTTGAAAACATTGGCAGCATTAAGATAAATTCAACAGTGTAAATAAGTTTTGATGGACGTAATAATGGAACGCTGAATGGTTTAGTTTATGTAACATATGCAGGGATTTATGTTACACAAAATGAACCATGGAAAGAAAAGAAAGGAAGTCATTGATATTTTAAGGTTGTTAAAATGAATACTCTAAATTGTAAAACAGAAAATTTAATAAAAATTAGAGAGAGAAAGAGAGAGAACTGCTGTCTACGACTCTGATAAGTGAGTGACGCATAACTTCATCTTTTGCCCTGGCAATTGCCTTTGACTAAATCTTCCTCTTTTGCTTTGCAACTTCTAGGCACACTAGTCGGCTGCGGGAGCTGAACGGAATGGCAGTCCTCAACACCTCTTTGAAGCACATGCAGGGATTTTAAAAGCTTCTGTAAATGTTCCAGAGCATGTTTACAAAGTCTGCCATAGCTCTGGTCAGGGCTGCACTTTGTTTTTGTAATAAAGAGGATTAATTGGAACAAGGCTACTGTTTGGTTTTTCATGGAGGGGGAGATAAAAGTATTGGAAGGATGACTGAGTTAATACAAAGCCTGAGGCCATGCCTGGATGAAAGAGGCTTTTTCCTCCTTTCCAAAAAGAGGTAACCTTTCCATGAGCAAATTTCTTGGTATGATAGAAGTTGCACCTTTTCAAGAGGGCTCTAAAATAGCCACTGGTTTCCTTGTTGCAGAAGCCACTTGTCAAGTGTTAATCAGCTATCTTAGGTGTCGATTTTCATGCCCAGATAGGTAGAGAGCATGAAAAAGAAAATGAGTAAATGTGTTCCTTTTTAAGGTGAGGGTGATGTAAATGTCCTAGACAGACATTGACAATAGAAGGTTATTAACAAAAATGGGCAGTTGTCAGTCTTAAAGAATCAAAGAGGACATTTGAGGCGGAGCTGTGTGGAGGGTAAATTGGACCCTTTGCAGCAGCAGCAGCTTAGCTCATACCTCCTGTTTGTGAAAGACCAAGCAACACACTGAATGCACACAAAAATCTATTGCAAGGTCAGATGTGGACCTGTCCCGCAGACAGGCGTATTTAGCTTCAGTACTTTTTTGCTGCTTAATCAGGTTGCAGTAATATAATCAAAACGGGCAGCCAGCCTATGAAGAGGAGAAAAGAAACAGAAAAGTAAAGGGCAATCTTATTTGATTTCAGATTGGCTCTTCTCTTCTCCCTCCTTGACACTTTTAGATGGCTATTATGCCAAAAGCAGCAGATGTAAAATTAGATATCATTATGTCCTCTTGGGAGCAGCTGATGAGTGTATTAATCTTCCCCACTTCAGAGGAAGGTGCTGTTTGGAGTGAGTTGGGCTTTCTTCCAAGCCAGATATGATGGCTGGCTGGAAGGGGCTGCTGCTCATTTGACACTGAACACCAGCACAATGGTGTTGGTCTCTTTGGGTTGTGGGCCCTGGTGGATACTCGTTTAATCACCTTCACTTGGTGGTCACTGTATTCTGCACATTTTAATTGAGTAGGTCTCAGGTTGTACTTTTGCATTCTATTGCTATTCTTTACAACATTTTCCTGTCTGCTCATGTATATCGAAACCTGTTTTCTGAAGATAACCCTTCATGCATCTGATGGAGCAGACTCTAGTCCACGAAACTATAAGCCAAAACAAAGGTTTTTTATCTTTAATGTATCACAAGACTGGATGATTATTATTGTTATTATTAGTGTCATTATTTTGATTAAAAATGCACACAAACATCTCCGGTTCTGCCGATGTGGGCAAACCCACCCCATATAGGTGGCCCATGCCGGCAGTGCCGTTCTAAACTAAAAAAAAAAAAATTACTCCCCACCCCAAAGTTCAACACTTCTGCTAAAAAAAATGCAACAACTTTTCTGTCTGGATTTTCACTGTTTGAAATATAGCAACCCTAGCCACATATGAATCAGAAGACTCTTCTCTCCATTGACTCAGTCTCTTCAAGGGATAGCTAAAACATGCTTACTGTATTTTTTGCACCATAACACTCACTTTTTTCCTCCTAGAAAGTAAGGGGAAATGTCTGTGCGTGTTATGGAGCGAATGCCTGCAGGTGGTGGGGATCTGCTGCAGTCGTGAGCAGAGGATCCATGGTTCCCCTTCCTTCCCTCCTTCGTGGTTACAAAGCATGGATCCACATGGATCCTCAGGATTTTTGCATTGGGCTACTCCAAACTCACTGTCAGATCACATGTCTGTGGCCACAACATGAACCACAAAAATCATATATCCCCTATTTCGTTTAGAATATTTTTTTTTCTTGTTTTCCTCCTCTAAAAACTATGTGCGTGTTATGGTCTGGTGCGTGTTATAGAGCGAAAAATACGGTATATGTTTTTATAGTGTCACAGGATGGCTTTGTTATAGTTAATCTGTTGAAGAGAGTCAGGAGCTTCTGAAGAAGGAGCCCCATAACATGTTATCTTCAGTACATCTTTGAGGTCTTCTTTGATTCCTTTTCCCCCCTTCCAGGCATTGACCAGACCTCCAGGACTTCTTTGCTTCAGCAGAGCTGCTGTTTCAGACTATGCCTTGGCCCTCTTGATCAGCAAAGTTGGCCCTTTCCCCCTCAAAGTCACATTTTACCTTCTCCTGTAGAAGATTACAACATTGATTCTGGAGCTGTGACACATTCTTTATACAATACAGGTATTATTTCATGTTTGCCAAGCTCCATACTGGATCCTTCTGCACCCATGTCAAGTGATGGATCCAGAGTTCTCCTGTTCTTTTTTCTGCCCCTTTGATTGTGAACAGGCTCTTCTGTAACCACTAGATGGCAAACTGGTTACTCATTAAATTCTTCCGCTAAGACACATATGCAAACTATTTCAAGAGTTGCTTGGACAATATCCATTGCAGTTGCTGATCACAGCAGATGGCTGACATCCATTGTGCTGTTAGGATTATGTTTAGATGTACTAAATCAGAAGTGTGCACTGGTGTTACTGTGAGCGCTGAGGTCTAAGCTTGACACTAACTCCCTGGGATTGGCTTCCTAGAATTAAAGAAATCCAGCACGACTTAAACGGAAAAGATGTAAAATCGCTTTCCAACTTTTTACTGGGCAGTTGCAGATTCTAAATGCGGAGCTGCTTAATCAAGAAGGTGCTAAGCATTCACAGCCTCCTTTTGGAATCATGCACAAGTCTTTAATGAGGCTAAGTTTGGAGCCAGCCTCCTTTGAATTTAGTGCAGAAACTGATTTTTTTCAGCGCTAGGATTCAGGCTTAAAGCTTGTGATATAATAGTAAGAACAGAGACTATTTTTCTGTCGCCTGAGTTGACCATGACTGGTATGAAGAGAAAGCTTTCGAAAAGAGCGTTTCTTGTTGCTTTGTAGCCTCACACAACCTGCCTATAAGAACGTAATAAATAAGAACAGTAGTAGTAGTAGTAGTAATAATAATAATAATAATAATAATAATAATAATAATAATTATTATTATTATTATTATTATTTTACAGGTTAAGAAGTAGTCCTTGGGCTCGTTGTTCATCCCATAGATACTATTTACTCCAGAAAGCAAAAGCCACAGTAATGGTAGCAGGGAGATCTGTGGGACTAGAAAAAGGATTCTGAAGAACACCACCACCACCAGCCCCGCCAGCAATAACAAGATCCCAGGGGAGAAGACTTTTTATAAATGCCTGCAGTCTCCCCAGTACTTTCAACAGCTGCTGCCTCTGAAAGTTCCAGGCACTGGAGGCTGTTGATGGCACCTTCCCAAAGCTACAGAAAGCTCTGCTGAACTGGGAGAGGCACCATCTTTCAGGAGAGCAGATCGAGAAGCTACGTGATAGCCTAGTTTGGCACCATCAGCAGCACCTTGCTGTTCGCAAGGACAGTTCTTTCATTGTGAGGGCAAATAACATCTGTTAATATATCTGATTTTGCTGTTATGATATAGACACAGGAAAAGAGAGAGAAGCTCTGTCTCTCGCACAGTGGCAGAGCTTTGCTTTTTTTCTAAAACATCCCCCCCGCCTCGTTTTCTTGTTGCCTTTATTTTATTTTTGAAATAAGTTTTATTAGATTTTACAAGTGTAAAATACCGAATACATATTCATATTTAGAGATCCCTCTGAATCTCCAGATTTCCCACCCCTCACATCCTATTGTCAACATTTTCAACTGCATATTATTTCATCCATATTTTATATCTCTCCATATTGTCCATAGTATTTGTTTCATTACAAGTATTATTAGAATCCTGCTAATGTTTTCATTTGCTTACAGTGGTCTCCTAAATAAATTATAAATCTTTCCAGTTCTTTCTTGAAGTTTTTGTCTTCTTGGTTCCTGAGCCTTCCTGTCAGCTTTGCCATTTTGACGTACTCCAACAGCTTAATTTGCCATTCTTCTCTGGTAAGGACTTTATCTTCTTTACATCTCTGAGCTAGTAGCATCCGTGCGGCAGTCGTAGCATACATGAAAAGTCTTTTCTGCTCCTTTGGGATCTTGGTACCTACAATTCCTAATAAGAAAGCTTCTGGTTTCTTTATAAAAGTTATTTTAAGCACATTTTTTTCTCAAATATTTTCATACTGCCTTTCTGAAAACCATCAAGGGGGGGTCCATCATGTAAGAATAAAAATAAATTAAAAAAAACTACAGTTTGCACGCTCTCCTAACATTGTATTTACAGCTCCTACTAAAGTATCCCACCCCCACTTTTTACATGTTGTTTGTTGACTGCTTTTAGAAACAGAATATTGCATGGATTGAGCTGGTTCTGGTCCATCAAGGTAATTCTGAGGTCCTAGCAGTTACCGTATTTTTTGCTCTATAAGACTCATTTTTCCCCCCCGAAAAAGTAAGGGGAAATGTGTGTGCGTCTTATGAAGCGAATGCAGGCTGCACAGCTATCCAAGAAGCCAGAACAGCAAGAGGGATCGCTGCTTTCATTGCGCAGCGATCCCTTTTGCTGTTCTGGCTTCTGAGATTCAGAATTATTTTTTTCTTGTTTTCCTCCTCCAAAAACTAGGTGCGTCTTGTGGTCTGGTGCGTCTTATAGAGCGAAAAATACGGTAGTTTTTTCACAATCTACGCTTGACTCTCCTTCTGCCCTGCACACCTCTTGTTTGACTTGTTCACACATTACAGTGAACATAGGTACAAGCTGTCTACACATGCACAAGTGTTTGTGTGTATGAGTGTACACGTGTTAATTTGTAAGCTCATCTACACAGACTGTACACCTGTTGCACATGACATGTGGGTAACTACAAGTGTACAGCTCACCCATGAGTGTACGCAGATTGTACACTCATTGAATGTAGCCTATCTCAGAGAGTCCATACAATTTAGTGTTTTAACTGGATGGGCACTTGGGATTTTTTAACTGCAGTGGTTCCACTCCAGATGACTTGTCTAATATTTACAGAAATATGACCACAGTTGAGCTCCTTGTGACAGAGACCAGCTTGTGAAGAGAATGCTATGGCAGCTCTTACATGGGACAGCTATTCCTGT